CTCTGCTGCCTCCTCCACCTCCATCCCCTCCTCTTTTGCCACCCCATCCTCCAGCTCTGCCTCCCGCTTCTCTTCCTTCTTCTTCATCTCTTCCTAGCACCCAACACCTTCCCCCCACAAAGCATTCAAAATCCCCTGCCAAACAGCCAGCTGTACCACCACCGGCCACAGTGCCAGAGCCACCTCCCCGTAGGGAGCTGAAAGGTATTCTTAAAAACATTCAGAATTTAGCAGCGATTGAAAAGTCCGTGGCCAATATGTACAGCCAAATAGACAAAAACCACGTTCTGCCCAAGCACATCTCTAAGCTCAAACCAGTCGCAACACCAGAGCTGCCAACTCCCAAGGCTGCGGCTGAGCACAACCAGCAGAACGGCGGCTTGAGCTGCGTTGTGGAGGAGCTCGAGAAACGCTTTCCATCTCAGTCCACAGCACTGTAATATTTTGGGTTTAATGTTTTCTGCATGTACCGTTTTGAGCACCATGACTCTAATGCAGCACATGGTATCTGCCTCAGACTCTAGAAATGCAGATTTTTTTCCGTTTCTCTGCTGTCTCTTTCTACTCCCTACCTAATCCTGAAATGGAAAGACTTTATCTTACCTGTTCACTCAGAAATTTGTAATGTGTCATTGTACGAGTTGTTCTGTCAGCGCTGTTCAATGACCTTGGTTCTTAGTCTACCTGAAAGTCTTGGGGAAAACTGTCCGTTTGTTCACAGCATTCAGCCAGAGGTGGCAGAGGGCTTGATAACTGCTTTACATCAAGCTGCCCTCGCTGTGGGTAATACCAGTAAGCAGAGTGATTTTTCTGTAGCTTAATGGGAATTCCTTGCTTTGCACATGAGATGCGCAAATAGGAGGAGTTTAACAGTCCAATATTGGGTGTCAAAGAGGGCGAGTACTGGTAGCAATCAGGCTCAGCAATAGCGAGCCAGAGGTGTTACAGCACCACATCTTTATATTCCATGGGAGATGGCACAGCGCTCTGCTATGCTGGCATGTTTTCTTTTAGCTCACATTTGCATTTCCCAAGTCAGAAGAAGGGCGCTCTCTTGATTTGTTGGTAAACTCAGCTGTTTTCCTTTGTGTCACTTACATCTTGCCTTCCATTGCATTTTTTTTTATGTTGTAACTGCATGTTTAATGTTTTTATTTTGTAAACCATTTAATGTACAAAGCTTTTTTTTTTTATTTTTATTTTGCACGTCCATGTTGTTGACATCTCTTTTTAACTGTCATGCTATGAACCACACAGCTAAAACATCTTGCTCATCTTAAAATGTAATAAAGTCAGTCTGATTAGTGTCACCAAGTGAAGGTTTCTCAAGTACTTGGAAAAATCCCTGTAATTTACTTACTGGCTTTTTTTTGCTTCCAGTCATCTAAATCACACTTTTACATTAAATTTGTGAATGTTACTAAATTAGCTTGTCCTTTGAAACAAACGGTAAGTAAAAGCAATTTGGGCATTTCAATGAACGTGAGGTTGGTTCAACTTGTAAGTTTTATTTCGTTCTTTGCCAAAATGCAGAACAGAGTTGTTGAAAATGACTGTTAAAAAAGAAGAAAACAAACTCTGGATAGGCAGGTATCACAGGATGATTGAATACTAAAAACCACTTCAGTATCAAATGTTACAATTTGGAGCAAAAAGATAATTATTTATCAGACTGTCTATAGGTAGACTCATCATTTCCACGGTGCTTGGCTTTTTTTTATTTTCTCTTTTTATTTAAATCTGCAGTTAGGACGTGTGTGGGGGTGTTTCACTTGGAAGCTGCTGAAGGTGATTTCTCTTTCTTTGTCCCAGAGCCAAACTCCATGAAGTCCATCATCCAACTTTCACCGACTTGAATTTTAGAATTGAAATTTTTTCTGTGCCTTGTAATGCTCTTGTTGGCCTAGACTGTAATTCCAAGACACGTAATGGATAGGAACAGAAGCCAAATGTGTGAGGGGAACAATTTTCTATCACAGCATGTTTGCCATAACAATTTATGAGATCCACGTATGTTAGCTGCCCATAGCGCTAAGTTTTCTGAGTGGCACAGCAACAGCAAATTGTCAAAGTGAAGCAGCTCTTAGAGAAGTGCTGAATATTTAAGTGCCAGAATTAGAAGAATTGGTACGTGCTTGTATACCTGCTTCTGTGTACCTGCTGTGGTTCGGTGAGATAATTGACTGTCCAGAGTTGAGCATGTTCATACTGGATCAACTTTTACATCAGAAATGTGTATTTAAGTATGCAGCTCCCATTTTAGACCCATGGCAGATACCTCTGTGATGCTCATCACACCAACTAGTGAAATATTAGACAAACGTGGCCTAATTTTGCAGTGTGTGGTGTCACTCAGTAGATCTGCAGATGTTTAGAAATTCACAAGGTAAACATCAAAGATTTTATTTATTTGTGGCATTCCTTAGGCAGAAAGGTTGGACATCATGCACAAGTTCCTTTTTAAATATTTAGTTCCAACCAGTCACTCTCAGAAGAGCCTGTGGGGGTCATTGTAATCAGCTCTTCACTAATGAGGAACACCTACTTTGTCTCATTCTTGAAGCCCTTATTAATTTGAAGAGTTTATGAAACCTAATTTATTTTTGTCTACAATTTAAGCAACATTGGTTCTCCTGCTGGTTTCTTGAATAGCCTTTATTAAAAAAAAAAAAAAATTATATTAGACTGGGAAAGAAATTGTACCAATATCATGTACTTTAACCCATGCCAGGGACGTTCTGTCCCATGGAAATGTCCGGACACTACTGCTGTTCTGCTGCACTATGAGATGTTATAAACAGTATGCTACTTGACAAAAAATTGACCATATATAAGCTTATTGACCCCTTCTTGGGATGTCAGGTTTGGTTAATTGCAGACGGTTGTGATCCTTGATAAACCTCTGGTCCTTCTATCAACAGCTTGACTGGGGTGAGTTATGAGCAGGGACAGAGATTGCATCTGTAGAGAAAACTCTTCCTCCCTTTGACCTGTTTGCAAAGCTGAAATCAAGCAGTAATGTATCGTTGCTTACCTCCCTTTCAGATTCTTTTTCTTTTCAGGTTTGAGTTATGAACTGTGGGAAATCTCCATTTTAAAACTTGGGGCAAATTGATAAGCAGTTGCTTCCACTGATTAGTAGCTGCAGCATTTGAGTTTTATGATCCTTTCTAATGTGAAAACAGATAAAAAGTATGAAATAGGAAAAGCATGGTGGGATGCCAGTAATTGGGAAAATTGTTGCTTTAGGCAAACCACAATTCCATTAACTCATGATAGTCCTGTGATAGCAGCACAGTCCTGTGAAAGGTTGCCACATCTTCTATGTGTAAATTCATTCCTGTTTCATCTCTCCTATGAAATAGCATGTGTGTATAGCAGCTGGCGTATTATCCTACATCCTACAGGGGTAGCACTCTTGCTTTCTCTCAGGCTGACTACCGTGAAGTCTTGGCTGCTCGTGTTTATCCAGAAGCAATTCCTCCCTCAGTGGAGAGACACTTTAAATTCCTTGCTGGAATCAAATGATGTCATTTTGACCTTCCCGTTTTTGTCAGAATAGATCCTTGTGCTGTATTGAGTGAACAGACATTTTTTTTTTTCCTTTTTCTTTTTTTCCTAACCCTGCCCAAGTTATAAATAAGTGAAATATAAGCAATTCTCAAAATACAGTGTGATGCTACTTTTAAGAAAGTTAAATTCCAAACTACATTTTAGATCCTTGTATTAAAACTTTAATCTGCAATACAGTGACTACTCAAGAGCAATTAAGATTAATGAGTTGACTTATCCCCTGTGCAACACAAGACCTTTTTCTGAAGATTGCTGGGAGATACGGAAGCTAAATACAGTGTTGCTCATGTGGGCTTTGAGAAGTCACATATCATCTTGTGATCTTCGTTTTGGTTGTTCATTAGTTCTATATTCTGTGGGCAACAGCATTAATGTAATGCTGATAATCAATTCTATGTGTTGAATATTAATAGGGAACCTTAGAGATAACAGCAAAGAATAATAAGGACTGGTACTCTGTTCTTTTTTATTTGCTCAAGTGTAATTAATGGATTCCCCAAGACCGTTGACTGTGCAGTATGTGAAGTTCAGCATACTTTTGAACATTTATTCTTCCCTTCTTAAAAATAATAATAATAATCTTTTAAAAAAAACAAACCAGAACACAGTGACACAAAGACTTAAATTGCTATTTGCTGTTCTTAATCGTTTTAATTTTCTGGCACAAAATGTGAAGATACAGACCTCGATAGATGTAAGTGCATTTGTCACGCATATGAATGGCTCCAAGAAAATGAATTCAAATAAGCAAAGAAATTTCCAGAGATCAACAGCACAAAGCCTGTGGCACAATAATCAGAGATAGCACAAATAATACCACTCCCCCTCCTGCTGAGCAAGTGTTAGGAAATGTGTAATTATGATAATAATGTAGTTAAATTACTAATAGAGGCTTCAGGCCAATTTCTAGCAAGTCCACCATAGATAAGTCCAGAAGTAGAAGAGAATGTGTTTCACAGCTTAAAAAGGGTATGTGAAATAACAGTCTCTTTGTAGATGGTCATCCTAGGTCTTGGAGACAACAGGGAAGGTGACCTGGCAGGACATCTTCTAAGAACAGAAGGAAAACCAAGCCTACGCTTGTTTAACCTTTATTTACCCTGCTCCCCTTTGCTGCGTTGCACTGGGTGCACTGGCACTCTGGCTTTTGGGGATTAGGGATTTCTTCTCATTCATTTGCAATCTAAAGCAAAAATAGATCCCAAAGATTCACTAGCCTTCTTCTGCAATATTTTGTATGGGCAGAGTGAATCGAAAGACAGACATGTTTTGTATCATAGATATGCATTTCTTTATTTCTTTTCTTGCTAGTAGTATTTCTTATCACAGTATCTTTTCCCCTCTCTCCAGAAAGAATGGTAGTATGCATCTTTGTGTAGTCAAGCAGAAGTATACTAATGTATTTTTTTTCTTTTTCTGACCTCAAGGCGAGGATATGCACAGCAAGAGGTAAGGCTGTTCCTGCTTACATTCAAATTACTGCTTCTATCAACATACTTTTTCCATACAGCCTGGATGTTTTAGAGGCCAAAGTGGTTCAGGAAGACTGGATGCATTCAGGAGGCATGGATGCACTGGCAGATGGCTGGTAAACGCTGTGGCACAAGCATAACCTCCAGGATGGAGGATTGCTGCTTGACAGGCTGCCAAAAGGTTTCCAAGGGAATTGCCTCCATTGCTTTTCATGTTTTAGAGCAGCAGGTCTAATCGTCTGCTACAGCCCAGCATGTGGGCTCAGCTTGGGCCTTTTCTGCAGCCCAATGCAGTCTGTCCTCACAGCATCTTTTTTCCTAGAAATCAGAGAATCATAGAATCACCAACATTGGAAAAGACCTCCAGGATCATGCAGTGCAACCACCCGCCTAACACCAGTATTTCCCCACATAGAATCATAGAGTCATTTTTCCAGCGATGAATAACGTGGAGAATTTTCTAAATGGACTCGTTCAATAAGTTCTCCAAAGCACATTCCCATCAGAATGGTTGATATTTACTGACGAGTACTGATTAATCTTAGGATGTGCCTCTGGTGGCTGCTGCTCCTTATTGACTGGGTTTACAAAACGCAGATTTATTCTGCATTTCTATACTCTGATTTGTCTTCCGTTTGCAAAGCTGATTTGTATCTCTTAATTCAGATACAGATCTCCTTATCTCCTACACTTCAGCTCTGGCCAAGGAACTTGGCCGAGACAGTGCCCCCAAATTTTCAGAGGAGGGTTGTTCCAACGCACGTGATGCAGTTGTTCTCTTGGGCTCTGACAAAAGTTTTTGAGTTAAATAATTTAGAGAAGCACCACATAAACAGTCAAATTTCGTATTAAGTAAAATAAATAGTGCACTATGAAGTCATGTTGCCATAGTAGGTGCGTAGCATTTTTGTGGTGCTTGCTGAATTTGGAGGTATCCAAGTGACTGCGTACGAAATATTGTGAAGGACTTTTGTCTTAAGATTTCTTTCCTTATTGTTGCTGCCTATTAATACCCTCTCTTGTTTTCTTTTATAGCAACAGCAGTTGCTGAGACCTTCCCTTCTCAGGCCAGAGGTACCGCTATTTTTCATGTTTTTATTATTTTAAGTGTGTTGTACATTATTTCCTAAGCAAAACTCATCTTTCCTCTTTCCTGTTGTATTTTTTTTTCCTTCTGGTCTTAGATGAAAATGAAAGTCGTATTGTTGTTAACCCCTCAATGCAGTTTTCATTAAATACCTGAAATGTACTGCTCTTTGATATTTTGGCTGCTTGTGGCTTGAACAGATGTGCAGTTTGCCAGGCAAAGAACTGGCTGGACTACCAAGCCCCTGGTGACACTGTGAAAAGAGTTAAATTCAGTTGGCAGCTGGTCATAAGAGGCATTTCCCAGGGCTCAGTTTGTTTAATATTTTACCCACAATCTTAGGAGGGGATCGAGACCCCCCTCGTTAAGTTTGCAGATGACACCAAGCTGGGTGGGAGTGTCCATCTGCCTGAGGATAGGAAGGCTCTGCAGAGAGATCTGGTTGGGCTGGATCAGTGGGCAGCCTTGTCCATTCAACAAGGCTGGGCGCTGCACCTGGGTCATAGCAGCTCCCAGGCCTGGGGAAATGCGACTGGAAAGTCGCTAGGCAGCAAACCACCTGGGTGTGCTGGTTGATGGCTGGCTGAGCACGAACCAACAGTGTGCCTGGGTGGCCAAGAAGTCCGATGGCATCTTGGCTTGTCTCACACATAGAGTGGCCAGCAGGAGCGGAGAGGCAATCGTCTCCCTCTGCTTGATATTGTGAGTCTGCACCTCAAGTACTGTGTTCAGTTCCTTGATATCCAGCCGCGCTCTGTTTTCTCAGATGTCAGTCAAGTGATAATTGATTGTTATACCTGCAGATGAACTAAGCAGTTGGCCTGCCAAGATAATGAAAGCATTAGCACACTGCTGTGAAGTGATGGGTTATTAATGCGGCGCTTTCTCTTTCAAATCTTTTAGACCCTATGTCATTCCCAGAATAAGCAATAGAGCAGGCATCACTTTTGTGAGACTTTCTTATAAGCGGTGGAGAATGGTGGCAGTTTCTACAGCCATTGTAAGCAGCAAGATGTTCAGAAACAGCTTTAGTTTAATTGGGCAGGGTATTTTCCCCCTTGGAGGTGTGTGATGGAGACAGCATGCATCCCTTGTCAAAACCAAAGCCTTGGTGCTCTTTGTTGTTATGGCACGCAGGGACATTCCACACAGCAGCCTAATGCCAACAGCATGTGGAGAGATCTTAAGAACACACATTGATGTGTTCTTAAGGATACAAACATTAAGAAAGAAATCTGAATGAAGAGTACAAGTAAAATAGCCCTAGTATTTGAACATGGATTTTTTCCATAGAGAGAGGCTCAAGAAATCACAGTTCATTAGCACTGATTCCAGTTCAGTGTCAATATTCAGCTGACTTAGAGCAGTTACTCAGAGTGAATACACCAGAGGAGGGGTCATTTAAAGCTTGTATTGACTTGTCATTATGGTTCTTGATGGTTATCAGTGTTCTTTTGGGGTTGTTGGGGTTTTTTTTAGTTTTTTTTGCACTTTGTATCTTTTTCATATCTCGTTCTGTGTGTGACTGTGCATTCAATCCATGTTTCTCTTTTGACAGGAGTTAAGTATGGAGTCTGGAATTGACCCAGGGCAGGAATACTACGGGCAAGATTACTACAGTTATGAGCATGGGTATATTTTCATTTTTCCTTTATATTTCCAAAATGCTGCTTTTCAAGGTTGGTGGTGTTTATTATTACAGCACCTGATCTGTAGACTTTCCTTCACCCCAGGACTACTTTAATCTTTGCACTCACAACTGAGTGTGCTAATAACAAAACTCACTTCTTGAACCTTAAATGGGTGTTATATAACTCAGAGATTCTTTGAGAAGCTAATTTTACTGCAGAACATGTAGCCTTTGGTAGTCATTAAACATTTTTCTGTTCACTTTTTTATTTGTGTATATCTGTTGTCTTGGAAATGAATTTCATCAAATAGCCTTTTTGTGGCTCGACAGTCTGAGTTCAGCAATACTTCTCATAGTTCTCAGCCAGCATCAGGCTTTCTATATTTATCTAGAAAAATGTCATTCTGCCTTGTTTGCATAAAGCCTGTTTGCCTGCAGTCAATTCAGAGACCACTGAATTTTTCTCAAAATTGCAAGGATTCTCCAGAGCCGATCCCCCAATAAAGTTAAAGAAAAAATAATCAAGTAATGTTAAGTAAGGTTATTGCACTTGGGAGATTCTGGAGACCTGGCAGTTTGAGCTTCCTCCAGCTGTAGTGACTTAGGGCTGGTTTCAACAGGAGGAGGCTTCAGACTGCACTACTGCTGATATAAAAGCAACAACAAAAATTAAATATCCTTCTTAACGGTAAAGGGAAAAAAAAGACAGTAAGTAAAGAAAGTCATGTCCTTTAGGGATGTGTGTGCATTTGTTGCTCTTTGTGAAGACATGCATGAATACATTGGTGCGTGTAACAAAGAGCTGGCGGTGTTTTTGCCAGGTATGAACTGCCTCAGTACGGGAGCCGCCGCCGCCTGTTGTCTCCTTCAGGGATGTATGATGAGTATGGGGAAGTCATGGTGGAGAACGATGGCGGCTACTACTACAGCCCACATGGATCAACAGCAGAAGAGGTGAGCATCTCCGGCACGTTGATTCTCTCTCTGCAACAAGCTGAAGCAATTGTAAACCTTATCAAATGGATTTTTTTTTTTTTAATGGATTAGAATATTGGGAATACTGTATATAGACCAAATAATCAGCTCATCTAATCCCAATTATTGTTTGCCCTTCAGATGACTGCTAACGTTTGCATCAGCACCTCTTTTTATAGAAATAAAAAAGAAATTGCAAAGTTTCTTTTAATATGCACTTTGCTTTTTCCCTTAATGTAGATTTCTACTTCAATGAAAAGTCCACGTAGCCTTAGGTAATTCCCTTTTATATTGTTAACTGAAGGGAGTATTACTAATATTCAACCTATAACTGGTGATTTTCCAGTGAGAAAATCAGTCACCTAAACTAATTTAACATGGAGTTCACAACTGAATGTAAAGAAAATTTAAAATGTCAGTGGCAGCCAGAAGAAAGGAGATGAAATAGTTCACTTTTTTTATTTAATATTCATAATTACTAGATTTTTAATCCATCACATGGGTTTTAATTAAATGAGAAGCGATAACATTTATGAGCCAGTCTTTTTCTCCTTCACAAGGCAAGGTAGTTGTGCATTTGCAGCCTCTTCTGAAAGTTAAACTTTCCCCATAACTTTGGTGAGAAGCTAGTCTAAATCACATTACTTTTGGTGCTGGAAAAAAGTGTTGCATTTGTTCCTGATGATTTACTTTGGGGGTACAAGTTTTCATAATAACTATCTTTCCAATTTTAATCAAGTTCCATTTTCGTAATTTGCAGGGAATGAGTCAAATCAGAGGTCCTTCAAGCAGAGGTATAAGCCAGAGAGCAGGGGCTCAAATAGAAGGTAGACCTTTAGATGGTGGGATGGATCTAAGGCATGGCTCTGGAAGAGCATATAGAACCAGCCAGGGAAGGAGAAAACTAAAAGCAGTGATGCATTTAAGTCGTGTAGCAGTCAGTGCTCACAAACCAGTAGGAAGAAGCGAGTCTGCTCGTGCTCCATGGAAGAAAGCAAAGATATTCCCGATGATTCTGCAGAAAGTGAAAGGCAGTAGGAAAGATTCCAGTTATGCCAAGTTGATGTCAGCTCGCCAGGCGGATGGGGAGAAAAGCATGATTATCAGGGGAAGCTACTTCCAGAAAGCTACAGATGACAGACCTTCAATGAGAAAGCTAAATCATGTGTTAAAACGCATTAGTGTCTCCAGAAAATTTCAAGAACCCACTAGCAAAGATGCAGTTCATCCAGGAGGAAAAGTAGAGGAAGAAAGAGATGAAGCAAAGTCAGGAGTCTCAATAAGTATCACAGCAGAGAGTGAACATGAGGAAAGTGATTATGAAAAGAAGAAGAAGAGGAGAAGAAAATACAGTTCAGATGAGTCGTCTGCGAAGAGTAGTAGCTCTGGGTCAGAGTCAGAAGATAAGGACTATTTGACAGTAACTCTGGACCAAGATGAAGCCACTGAAAGTACTGTGGACTCTGATGAGGAATCTGGCCATGATATCGGGGATTCCGATGAAGGCTCTGGATCCAGCTCCAGCAGTGAATCGGAGGAGGACTCTTCTGAAGAGGACGGTGATGAGGAAGAGTCTGACAGCGATGAAGACAGCCTTTCACAGAGCTCATCTACACAGAGTTCATTCAGCAAATCAGGAACCAGTGACTCCAGCAGTAGAAGAAGTACTGGAAGGTCAAGTACGAAAAGCAGGGGAAGTAGCTCTCGTGGCAGAGCAAGGCGATCCAGCCAGAAATCAATCAGCTCGAACACATCAGGTACAAGCTACAGGAAGACATCAGGATCCAGCTACAAGAGCAAAACCTCCTCTGCCAGCCTTGAAATAGAAGACACGATAGAAGAGGTTTCAGAAGAAGAGGAGCAAGCAGATACGGAGCAAGTCGGTGCGAGCCCTGATAAGACAACAGAGAACACGAAGAATAAGACAGTTTCTAAAACATCTGCAAATGCAAAAAGTGCTAAAAATGCTGCTAAGGGAGAAGACAAGAGAAGAAAATCAGGTGTTAACAGTGGGGATAATGAGGATGAAAGTGCAGAAGAGGCTGACGCAGATGCTAGTGACAAGGAGGAAGCTGTCAGTAAGAATGGAAGTGAAATCAGTGTTAATTCCAAAGGTACTGGGGGGAAAAAAAGCACAGCTAGCGCCACTTCTGGCAAGACTACTACTTCCCCTGATACTGAGACTCAGAGTTCTGACATCAACATGAAAAGAAAGAAAATAAAAAAGGGATCCCAAGAACAAAGTCAGTCTCAATCAGATGACACCCTTGACACTGCTGTTACAGAATCTGAGACTGCTGGTGATTCTACATCCTTTTAAAAAGGAACAACAGTAGGTGGATATTTTGCAAAAAGGAGTGATCTTGTTTGCAGTGCCTTCTGTGTGGTCTTTCCTAAACAATACATACCTGACTAGAGATAGCCAAACTGAAAAACTCAAAGCTTATTGCTTCAGCTTTTCAATCTTATATGCCTTAAGGACAGAACTGTGGACTACCAAACTAATATAATTCTTCTGAAAGACTCTTCACATATACATGGTGGTGGATGCAGAAAGATTAATTTTCATCTAGCAGTGGCAGGACAGAGTATTTCTCTGCCAATTTAAATCATATAGCATTGTGTTAATTCTTACATTTAATCCTTTTAGCAGTATGCATATAGTGATACCAAACTATGTTACATTTTGCATTAACTGTGATGGATAGCTTCACAAACCTGACAGCACAAACCTGTTAAGGGCCCTGTGCTTACATAGGTTTCATCTGTGGCACTCTGAGGAAGGAAAAGTTGCAAAACGTTGAAGAACAAGAGACTTAAATGTCATATATTTACATTTCTCTAACATAAAAGCATTTGCTAAACTTCGTAAGCTCTCAGATGTAAACCTCACCCTGTCTCCAGGGTGGAAACTGAAATTGCAGCAAAGCAGGATTTCCAGAACTGCTGAGAATTACTAGCAGCACTGGGATTAAACTGTTTCTGGGTTGTGAGATTCAAGTATCAGTGATGTAAAAGGCAGAAGTCTAGAGGTAGGTGTATGAAGTGAACCTGGTCAGAAAAGGAAATGTGTTGTACTTCCAAACTTCTGCCCTTCCAATTTTTTTAGTGTTTTGTTTTAATTAAACAACAACAACAAAAATCTGTTTAAATGTTTGAGAAGCATAATGGCAAACTTTTGCTGAAGATGATCAGTAACTGTCACCTGTGTTCAGTATTTTGGTGTTTATCTTTCAAAATTCACTAATCTGCAGTATTTAATGCCATTCAATAGGGAAATCTTATAGCACTTTCAGCAGCTACATTTCTGCCTAGAATGATCACAATTACATCAGAGGGATTTCTTTTGTTTACACCTCAAAGGGGCCTTTGAGTTCTCAAGAAGGAAACAACACCTGCTGCATGGTGTACTGCTTCATGGTGCCCTCATCCATTCTGACAGTGAAGCAGGAAAGCTTTGCATGCACACAAGCTATCTACAGTTTATCTGCTTTGTATCAAAACCCACAGAGCTGTTTCTCAACCATTTATCCTGATAAGTAATTAAAAAAATAAAAAATTTAAAGCATCGAGCCAGAAATGGATTAGCCTTTTATCTACTTTTAATACAGTACAGCTTCTGGCATATTCACCAAAGCTCTGCCAAGAAGTCTCTGTTAGAGAGGACAGAGAAGAACATTAGAATTTTAATGACACTTTGATACTTGGGTATGATACTTGAGCAATAAATTGTGATAGTAACTTTTCAACTTTGGAGTTGAAGTCACTTGAAGTGTGACCTAGATTTATGATTGCTCACTTTCTTGTATTCCCATGTCACAAGCACAAAGTCAGGCTGCACACTGTATATTTGCATGCAGATCCCATTTAAACTAGTCCTTTCATCCACTGGCATTTGCCTGTGCAAAGAAAATTATATGTCTTTATCAGAAACAAATTAATACACCTAGAAGTAGTTTCTACAAAGTATAATTTTTCAAAAGCTCAGGAATTCTCACCCATTTGTACCTGGCATGATTTTCTTTCTCTAAAAACTGGCTTTTCTTATGTGCATGTGTATGTGTTGATGTGGGAGTCTATCATGATGTTATCTGCTGCCTTAGTGAAACAGCACTGTTTTCATTAGTAATTCAACAGTAGTAGCTTGTTTTAGTGTATTCCCAGGAGACACTGAGAATTAGTAATGGGGTTTTTTCATCACTATTAGTACAAAGTCTCTGCAACATGGAAGTTTTTTGCTTTAGCTCTTTAAAAATATGTTTTATAGAAATCTGAAGTCTCTTTTCTCCACCTTCCATTTAATAGCAAATCATCCCCATTGATTCTTCTAGATTGGAACTGGCACAAAGCCTTACATCAATCTTTCTCCAGCGAGCCAGTTTTGCTAACATTGTGCCTGACAGCTTCCCTTGCGTTGGTCCTGAGATCTTACTGTCCTTTACATGGTGTTGCATATGGAATAGACTCTTTCGATGCTACTTTTGCACTGAATCTGCCATTTAGTAATGCTGTGAAAGAAAACTTCCAAGGCCTTCCCAAGCATTTACCCCTTGGTACACTATTTTATTGAAAGTATCACTTGCCCAGTTTCATTTTCTTAAGTGCCTTCTGATTTCAGTCAGAAAGGGACACTAGTTCAGTTGTTTTTCTTATCTCTCTGTAAGACAAACACATTGCTTTGCTGAAATATGACTGGTTTACTGATATACAGAAATCCACTCTCAAAGCAATGTCTTTGTATTCAGAGTTCTGAAAAGAAGATGCACTTTGACTTAATGGCAACAAAGCTGAATGCATCCTTAGAACTCACCCCTCCACCCTCCTTGAAGTTTTTACACCTTTATACCTTTTATAGCTTATTTTACGCCGTCTCTGTGATGTGATGCTGTTCACAAGTTGAGTTCATTCTTATAATTTTCATAGAATCATAGAATCACAAGGTTGGAAACGATCTGTAAGATCATCTAGTCCAACCATCAAGTTGGACTAGACTTTCAAGTATAAGGAACTGTTTATCAGGCATATACGACAGCGGTATGCAGTGGTAGTCAGAAGAGTTAGAAAGTACCAATGTGCAGTATGAAAGAAGTGGTACAGAAGAGCAAGTCAGAATTTCCCATGAAATGTCTAGATAAAAGATGAGATAGACTGGAAAAAGGACAAAAAGCTGTAAGAAATCATACTGAGATTTAATCACGTTTCCATTTACTGTCTAACAGTGGGCCAGAAAGAAAAGGATCAAGTTGATAGTTGACCCGGAGTATGAGACCAGCTCTACTGGAGAAGACAGCGCTCCTGATTCCAGCCAGAGGAATCGTCTTAATAACCCCAATATTCAAAACAACGTCAATGGTAACATCTACATTGCACAGAATGGCTCTGTTGTCAGAACCCGTCGTGTTTGCCTTGCTAATAATTTAAAAGTGACATCTCCAGTGAGGCTGGGGAAACAGTTCAAGAAACTGGACAAGCTTGCAGTGACGCACGAGGAGAACGTCCCACTGAACACATTGTCAAAGGGACCGTCTTCTAGTGATAAAGTGAACACAAGACCTTGTAGTGTCTCATTTGCTTCCTCTATAGGGGCTGAAAACATAGTGACGAAGCCAGGGGGCTCCAAAATGAAAAGCACAGAAGAGCAAGAATCTGTTGTTGATAACGAGGACGTAAAAGAGCCCTTGGAGTCTCACAGTGAACACACGCAGTCAGATGAGGAGGAACTCTGGATGGGCCCTTGGAATAACCTTCACATACCAATGACAAAACTGTGATTTTCTTTTTTTTTTTAATTTTAATTTTTACTTCAGTTTATAATAAACTGCACTTTTTATTGTCACTGAAGAAAATGTATGAAATTTGTATCGTGCACATATGTTGTATACTACAAATGACATGCTTTAAAGTTTAAAAACAAAATTTGCACTCACATTTGTACCAATTAATTGTCCTCCCCAACAACTATTTTGACAGGCTCACATTTCACTAAACAGTACTTCATTTAAGTTAATTAGTTTTTTTATCTTGATTTATTGTTTAATAAATGGTAAACTACTAATATATGCACAGCAACATTTGGTTAACTTTTCAGACAGTTCTATACATGCCTAGCTTGTTTTTCCTGTATTGGTACTTGTGGCTATACTGTTTAGATTTGGAAAGTGTCTATTTATGTTCAAGATTTATATCCAGAGCTCTTGATTCTGAGCTCAGAGGAATAAATTAAAAATAAATCCATGAAAGTCAATGGAGCAAATCCTCGGCTGGTTAAATGTGAGTAACAGTACCAAAGTCAATAGCGATACAGCCAGTTTATGCAAGCAGAGAATCTCACTCGACACTGAAGTAGCAAACTTCCATAACAGTGGAATTAGCATTTGTAAGAGTACAGCGTATTTAAGCAGAACTGTGAAACAGTTGATTAAGTACAGTAAAAACTGTAAAGGAGAAGGAAATGTGTAGCAATTAATCTTATTCAGAGCTACCTGTCTGTGATTTACTCATTTTCTTTTGTGAATTAGCTCATTCCAATTTTCTTCTCTAGTCAATTTTTCATCTTTTCATCTCTTCGCACATCAGTTATGTTTTCTTCTTTTTACAGTCTTTTAGCTCCAGTTTTTATGATCCATCAATAATTGTCATCCTATGGCTATATTCCTCTGAAATAAACCAGGATGATACAGGACTCTATGAGACAGAAAGAGGTGTAAAAAGTAATTAATAGGGAGGGGATAGATAGATTTTCAAGCCCAGATAGCTGCTGGGTTAAATGGTACAAACTCCATTCCACTCAAACATAAACCTGCTGTAAGATAAATGGATCGTGGTGAAGGGGATAAAAAGCGAACGTTTTCCAAGGCTAATATGTCTAAATGCAGCTGTGAAGGGCAAAGACTGACAGAAGACACAGAATTGTTTCAGAATCTTTGAAGTATGCATTAGTTGTGAAATGCACTATATAAAATACTGGCAGCTGCTTTTAATTTCTGCTTGTAACTTGAAGCAGTGAATGTGTCATTTTATATCGTCAGCAGGGTGCTGAGAGATACTGTTGTTCCTAACTACCAGTTAATAGCTAAAAAGCATTAGCTATACAGATCAAACTGTTCTTCTCCAATGAGATGTTAGGGAAAAAAAAACAAAAACAAGTGTATATTCACATGAGAAAAGTGTCCTGTTACGTTACACCAACTTCTTCTTCAGGATGAGATCAGACTAGCTGTGAGAACAATACCAATACCTCTTGAAAGATTGGAAGAGTCAACTGATAAATGCGTGCAATTAATGAGGAAAAGACTGGCATCATCCTTCTTTTCCTGCCCATATGGTTAAGTTTTACCTCGAGATCTGGATGACGATCGTTGCTGGTTCTGCTCTGGTAGTAAACGGACTTGTGTTACTGTGATTTTGTTTTGTTTTCCCCTTGCACAGGTTCTCCTACAGGAAACTTCTTTTAGTGTTTGTCTTTAGAAGCTGTTCGCATGTTATGCTAATGTAAATGTGACATTTCTGTCAAATACCTCCTTTTCAACTTGAGGTTTCTGACCAAATATTTTGAGTGACAGTACTTGTTTTTAGGCATGAGAAACGCAACACAGCCTACCATGCGAGAAACAAAAAGACCGGGTATTTCTTTCTCCTAAATCTTTTACCTTGGCATATTTGGACTTGGAACCTAACAAAAAAAAAAATATATCTGTTTGGAGTTTAGCTGGAGTCTGAACATACAGACAAGAATGATGGAAGAAAAAGAATCTATTCTTTGAAATAACTAGTAAAATGTTCTATTTTAATCCTGTTTAAGATATTGTATTTATTTCACTACGCCATTTCTACTGCAAGGTCTGTCAGTTGGCTTTTACTGATTACACTGACACGGTCATGAGGTTTTTAGAGAAATGTCATCTCCTGGCTCCTCTCAGTTTCCTGCCCTCCTGTTTTTTTACTGGAGACTCACAGCTCTACCAGCTTTAGTGCTGTGAAGGATTGGCATGCCAAATTCTGATGGTAAGCAGTACAGTGCACACTTACCAAGCACAAAACCTGTTGATAGCTCCTCTTCTGTGTTGTTCAAGTGCTTGTGCCTTTTCCTACAATGCAAAGAGCATAGGAAATTTTACTGTTTTCAGTAATGGACATGGTTTTAAAACCTGACTTAATTTTAGCTGTACTTGTAATGACTCTCTATGACTTGAATACTGGTAGGAAAGAGAAGGCTTCTAGAAATCTTTCACAAGCATAGAAAAATTAGGAGTGTAGTTCTTTTTTCCAGATTTTTCTTTTATGGGCATACAGTACTGTAAAATACTACAGATCCTAGACTGTAAGCAGTGGGTGCCAGAACTGGGAGCAATAACAATACAGGTGGATAGTGTGAAAAAGATCATCGGTACTTTCCTACGGGAAGTTTTGTATTAGTGTAGCTTTGTTGGATGCAATGAATAGAACAGAATATCTCAGTCTCGTGGTACAATTTACAGCTTTTTAACCAGCAAATTTGCAGAGTTGGTGGTGCAAGGCACAAGCATTTTCCCCTGGGTGGCAGAGCTGCTCAATGGCTGACTGATCAAGGTGATACTCATTGCTCTTGACACTGATTTAATTTGCATGATCCTCCAAGCAGGCACTAACAGTTTTGTGGCTTCCTATGGCTTGTGCTATGTGTTGAATATTTAAAAAGGGTTCAGATGACCAACTTGGCAGCTGTAGAAGGGTAGTGCAGTACCCAATGTGAGGCAGACCAAGGTCTGTCCAGAGAAAAATAGAAACTTCATATATTTTTCTCCTGGTGGAAGGTGAGTAAAACACAAAGAGATGGAAAATTGGTTGGTTGGTTGGTTGGTTGGTTGTTTTAAAACATTGTGAGAACACCAGTAACTTACACAAATCTCAGCTTTGACAGAGAAAAAGCATGGTGGGATCCAGGTATTTTGAGGCAGGCACTACTATGAAGGGCATTCCACAAAGTGTCACACACTCATCGTAACAGGTTGGTATCTAAAGGCATCTCTACCAGTTGAAAGCTGCAGTGGTTCTAGTTTCTTGCAGTAGTTATCTACTGCCTGGTTTTGTGTGATCTCTGGAAAGTTTGCCTCTGAATGTCAGTTTTAACTCAAACTGTTACAAATAAGTATATTTTGCAGAACTTGGATGGTGATGAATGCTTTTTACCTTTAAGACTTAGTTACAGTTGTGCTGCAAATGGGAATAGAAAGCTGAATGCTTTCTCATCAAACCCTACTTTATGCCTATGCACACATACATAGAGCTGGCTAGAAATAAAAATGGCAGCAGCTCCCTCCTGCACACACCTCTATGCTGACCCTTCAAATGGTGACTTTTAATTTAGCACTGACTGCCTCATTGTTTACAGTCTGAGAACTGCTTGCATTTGTTACAAAATATTGATAATACCACAAGGTTTGATAAACTCCAGAAAACAAGATGGCAGTTCATCAAATGAATTTTGAAGGCAGCTTCTTCTTGAAAGCCCATTAAATGAGCGCTGAGGAATACTATTTTTTTTTTTCTTTATTATTGGAAGAAGAATGTTTCATTAATGTCACTGTTTGGATGCAGAGCACTAAACCTAGGTGATGAAATGATAAAGCTGTCACACAGACCTGAATCAATAGCCTAGCAGTCACATGAGTAGAATCGGGTAATTCACTTCCAACCAAAGCTGTCAAGGTGGTATCAGCCCTGACAGCCGAAAGTTTATCTTTCTGGCACTTCATTGGTCTTTACTGACGCAGGATGAAGCAGCAATGTTCCTTTCCTGAGCCACCTGATACCTTGCAGCATTCCAAAGGGTGTCTGCTCCTCCCTGCATGGTTGCTGTAGAAACATATAGGTGGCCGTGGCATTCAGAAGTTGCTGCCTTTTGCCTGTCATTAAGGAGCCAGCACGTGTTGAGCAGGCATGGGGAGCCAGTGCTGGAGTACATCAGAAGTGGATGCAGGATCCTCGTCTCGTTTGTGTAGAGGACTACAGGAGTTTAATTTATATGACAATAACCTGGCAAAGAGCAGGAGTTTCCAAAGAGTACTTGGGGAATCCAGTGAGGCACTATAGACAGAAACAAGACCCTTGGCATTAGTCAACTTCGTACAGTTGTGCAGGTTTTAAATCAGTCCTTGATTTTGAGGAGGTCCCAGTTCTTCATGTGGAAGAAAAATTACAGCTCTGGACAGGGTGACCCTGCATGGAGTAGATAATAGCTGGCAAGTGATGTGGGCTGTTCTCAAAAATGTGTTTGAGGAAGGGACAGTGTCTGCAAAACAGCTCTTTTGCTGCTTTTGAAAGAGTAAGGACAAGATGCTTGGTTAAAAATGACTTCATTCTCAAGCTCTCCTGAAATGCCCAAAGAATGTAGGGGAATAATCTTTTTAGGAAGTCTCAATTCCCAGAGACTGTCGATGGGGTACTTTGCAAAGATGGATGGAAGGGCAAACAAGGGCTTTTCTCATTGTAGCAGTTATCAGGAACTTTGCAAGAGTCTCTTCCCGAGGAAAATGTTCCTGGCGGCCCTGTAAATGCCACAGAAGTCCTCACAAATTTTGGAGGAGATGTTGGGAGAGTTTAAGGAGGCTATGAAGCCTTTATATGGTTAATACCACCAAGCTGTGTTGTATATCAGCATTGTTCCACTTGAGACTTAATGGTTCATCGATGAAATAGATGGTTGGTTCCATGCAGCAGTTAGATGTGCAGTACATGGGTGCATCATCTCTCTGGCTGCTCAAAGATTCTCATTCCTTCTCTTTTGAAGCATATAGCGCCTCCTATTAACTGATGATCACTTAAATATATGTGCTAGCCAGTTTCCAATTCAGAGGGCAGTGAAGTTTGGCACCCTGCAGCCAGGTGGCTCATAGAAGTGCTCTACACAGCGCATCAAACAGCCACCAGTCGTGTAGGTTGAAGCTGATGGTATTTCATTTGGGCAAGGACTATGCCTGACATCTCATATGTAATTCGTTTGGTAATACGTTACAGTTTGGCAGATTTATGTGCTTCTGCGGAGCCAATGGCAAGGTCTGCACTATGTGGTAAAACCAGTGGCTCCTAGCTGTGCCCTACTGCAGCTTAGCTTTGATCCATTGTGCAGTATTGCACTGTTTTTTGGGGGGAGAGAAAAAAAAGTGACAAAACCATGGTGTTTACCATTCCTCTGGCAAACACTGCTACTCACCAAGGCAGCAGAGTTTAGGGAAACTACTTTGTCACAATTACTTTTAGCATCTGAAGGGAATTTCTTATTTCTTCGACATGAGTGACCAAAGGAAATTATATTAAGGTCATTACTTAATCTGATTAATTTTTCACAGGTAGGCAGATTATTATTTTTTAATGTATTACATTTTAGAAATGACATTCAGTGTTTCTCTGACAGCATTCACAAATGGCTTTTTTATTCTAACTTGTTATCTCAGAAATACTGGTAAGAAGCTGTGAAAATGGAAAAGGAAAACATGAATTCTAAAAATTTAGAAGATGAAGCAGGGCCTGCTGTGCTTTGCTGCTACAAAAAGCTATCGTAGAATGCGAAAAGGGGTTTAACAAAATGGTAAATGCTGATTAATTACTGCAGTTCAAATCAGAAACACAAGGTGTAAGAATGCAATGAACTACCGAAGATAATACCACTGTCAAACCAAGTAAGAATAGTAAATATTTATGTCTCTCCCATCAACTTAATTTACTGATACATGCTCTTCCTTTGCAGACTGAAAATGCTGCGTAGCTAGCACTATCAACATGCATAAATAGATTAAGTGTAAGGATGTGAATTCTGAGTAGGTATCAGTGGCCTCTAGGAACAGTGAAAGACTGTCACAATGTAATCAAACACTGATAGGGTTAAGTAAGTCCAGTAAGCTAGAAGCACAGTAAGGAACATAAGCAATGCTCCTAGATCTGACATTCAGAAGCTCTGCATGACTCAGCCACTGGCTCCTGCATTTCCTTAAAATCATTAAGCAAAGACGGGAGGGACAGAGAAATACCCAGTCTAGCATGGGGGCCCACAGCCACACTGGGAAGTGTGCAGCCCCAGCTAATTATCCTGTTTAAATGACAAATTACAGTTGCTTCTATTCTGGACTCGCAACACAGCTCTGCCCTTGTTTGCTTAGTGGGGATTTGCTCTCACTCTGTGCACATATGAATACGTGGCTGAACACACGTGCACCTACCCGTCCATCCAACCTGCCTTCTCCATCTACAAATGTATAGATGAGACATAGGCTATTGCATGCACTTCCTGTCAAAACAAGCTACTGACCAAAGAAAGTAGTGTAAATAAAAGAAAGAAAATCTGTTTATAAATTGTAATTTATCTTCAAGGGGGAAAGGGGAGGGAGATACAGAGGAATGATGAAATGCACAGCACTATGCAGTACCATGACTGCCAGACCCTGGCAGGTCACAGAGCATAGTGCTGTGTGCACTATAGGATGGCTTTGCAGCAGCAATAGCTTTGTGGCAGTAGTGGTCATAAAGGCAAATGTAAAAGTCACAGTGATTTCAGCAGCTGCTCTGTGATTATGACGCCACTTTCCAGTCTTCCTAATAATCTCTGTGCCCTCAAGCTTATGGAGATACAGTCAATAAAGGAAAAAAAAGTATGAAAGGAAAACACGACAAAACTTCTGAGATTTAAAAGCAAAGTAACAGGCTATAAGAACAGTGAAACTCCCCATCTGCTCCAACTGCAGCATGCATCACATGGATTTTTTGTGCTTTCCTCCCAGCACCTATTCACATGGTGTGTTGAATGGAAAATCAGATTAGGGTAATATTTGTTTTTTAGGAATTTCGTGGGGGTTGCACAGAGGAATTAATCCTATGCTGTGATATACATCCACCAGAGTGCTCTATCCTTCCTAGGAAATGCTATTATTATTTGGGGACAATAAAATCTAATTAATTGTGTAAGACAGCAGCTGTAATTGCAGTCCTCCTAAGGTACATTTACTTTTCTAACACGTAAGTACGCAACCCTAGTGTTGAGAGTGTCCCTCTCAACTTTTCTTGGAAAAGCTATATTTATATTTAAAAGGACTGGTCAGGCAGCTAGTTTTTGGGGGCTCTTCTAGTCGAACATAGTCCTATGCTGTTGCACAGAGGAAAATCTGTTCCTTAAACTGAAGGGCAAAAACTGAGGCAACAAAAGGTATGGAGATCAAAAATCTTATGATTCTACTAGTAATTTCAAGTGAGATAAGGAATATAATGAATAAGAGAAATGTGTATACTATAAAGTAGTTGGATTATTTTTTTTTCCTTTTTAAGCACAACATAGACAAAAGTTCAGAGCAAGCTGTTCTGCAGATAGCCCTACTCTTACAAAGATTATTAAATTATAATCTTTAACATTACTGGATTTAGCCCATTAATTTACTGATTTCAAAACCAGAGTTAATGGAATCCTTCTGCTTCCTACACTATTTATTAAGAAATGCTGCAGACTTGATTAGTTTTTTCCCAAAGGAATAAAATAACTTGTTTTGCAGTTTTGCTTAATAGCACTTCTAGAACCTTTCTAGCTGAATCCAGAGAAAGAAGCATTAGATTTGAAATCCAAATATAATACCTTGACTTCCGCAAACCTCTTTCCCTCTTCATGGTGGGACCTCTTGGAGGATTTTCCCAGCCTTGCTGATTCTCCGATTCCTATTTCTAAGCACCAGAATCCCACTATCTCCTTCCCATGGTTCAGTAGACATTTGGCAACTGGGTCTAACAACTGTCATGCACAAATGAAACGTTTTGGAATTGGGATGGATTTTTACTGATGTTATCAGTGACAGGGCAGGCACACCTAATGCCTGTGCAGAACCAATGGTGCCACGATGAAGGGCTGCAGTGTGTTCTGGGGTCAGAAAACAGCAGGTTTTGGTGGACGGCTGCCAAGGGCAGTCACCAGCTCTGCAGGCAGGACCCCGTGGAGGATGTCCCTCTTCAGCAGGAGCAGGATGAAGAAGACAAGCTGCAGCAGGCCTAAGAATAGCAGAAACCTCCTGCACAACAGAAGAAGGTTCACTCAGACCCGGGGGCACATTTGTCTCAGCACTTTCCAACCAGCCACAGCAAACAACCCACGGATCTTTGCCATACAGGGAGCGACCCAATCTGTCATGCTTCTCTACAAGGCTGTCAGAATCCCCACCCAACCTGCTCTCCCCACCCGGACACTAAGAAATACTGAAGCACTTTTATAGCAGATAGTGGTTTACAAATAAACAGACAAGGGGAAATTGTGGGAATACAAGAAAAACTGTTCAGGGCAGAAGCTGCAGAGCAGGATAAACAGAATGAGAATGAAGGACACCTCTAGAATGCTCTGCTGACATGTAAAGGTGGATGGGAAAGTTGTAGGAGCAGATGGGAAACTTAGAAAACTTGTGAAGGTATGTAAGTGATGTGAAAACTTATAATAAACGATTTGGATCGTTCACATCTGAGTCTGTGCATCAGACGCTGCACCACCCCACCTGCTCTCCCACCCAGGACACTAAGAAATACTGAAGCTTTTCACTCCCCAAAAAGTCAAAAGCTGCCTGATTGTCTCTGGACCCCAGAGCAACTCATCACAGCCAAGTCATGAGTGGACATCTCTGTGCTGCCATCTGCTCATCCTAGAGGACAAGGCAAAGCAGGGACATGTGTTGGAGTGTCAGAAGGTTTGGGCACTCAGAACCTCTCCTTCGTCCCCAAACACAGAAGTGGGTCCATATTCTCTGCCGTGGCCCTGAGGTGACCCTTCCCTCCCCAAGGCCACAGCAGGGCTTTCTGTCACAGCCACTGTCTCGTGCATCAGGGAACTGATGTGCTCTTCCCTGCGTGTCACCTTCCTGCTGTTACAAACCGTTTGGTGTGTGAGAAAAGGCCTCGGCCGGCACCGGGACCTCTTCCCCCCCAGTGTGGCCACAGGGATCCGAGGCAGCTGCCCGGCCTCTGCTGGAGCGGGACGGGCACCTCTTGGTGCCAGCCCTGTACAGGTCTGGCCTTCCCGAGCTCCAGCTGGCGGCACAGATGCCTGGGGGCTGCTGGCATCCCAGCTTCCCTCTTCCTCAGGTCTGGACTGTGCTGGGGAATCACTTATGGGGCAGTGCACCTTTTGGTGTTCTCTCTTGCCTTTTGGAGTTTCTTCATCTCTACCTCCACCTCCTCCCTCAGTACCTGGAGAAGGAAAGGGTCAAGAGCCTGCCCTGTGCCTGCTCGCAGGGGGCTTCCCCCATAAACGCGCTGCTCCCCATTCTCTCCCTCCCACCCTCTGTACCTTGCGGATTTTTGCCTTCTCTCTTAATGGCGTCTGCCAGCTCTGCAGACCTCTTCTTACACTGTAGGGCAGTTGGGACGACTTACATGGATGCAGGGTGGGTAAGGGCATTCTCAGCCCGTCCCCAGGGCACGGCAAGGCCAGGCCAGTGAGCCCTGCGGCACCCGGCACCCCAGCTCCATGGTTCAGCAACTCTGCCCTGCGGGATTTCTTCAGGCAGCTCACACACCTCCATCAGCTCCTGCAGCAGCGTGGCTGACTGAGCATTGTCTTCCAGAAGCGATTCTGTGAGAATCCTTCTTTGTTTTTTTGCTCAAAGCTTGCTTCCTGATGTATTTCTTGTGATAAGACTATGACTGATTTATTGAGGAGTCAAGTGATGGGTGCTACCGTGTGACAATCAACATCACTTTGTGGACAATTGTAAGCATCTTCCTCCAGAGCTGCTTGCCTTCGGAAGAGAGTGCTCAGTCAGGATTGTTTACTGGTGGAAGATCTGGCCTGTGACTAAATAACTCCAGCATGGTTTGGGAAAACTGGGGAATGATACCATCGTGTCCTGTGAAAGACAGGATGCAGGTGGGCATCCCTGCTCCCTCTAATCAGCTGGCAGGGCCCAAAATGAATGTGAACAAAGGAGTTTCTGCTGCGATCTCAGAGCCAGAAGCTGCCACTCCAAAGAGAGCTGACTCGACCACTTTGGACTTGTACTACCGCTGAAAAGTGGCCATCATCACTGTGGTCACAGTCATCGTCAACAGAACAATGCTCGACGACACAGCACTACTGAAGATCAATGACAGAACTACAAACCACACTGGATCCATGGTGGTGACTAATTTCCTGTTGCTTTCTATAAAGACTCATTGCTTCTTCTTTCCTATCTTTTTTGTCGCCCTCCTTCCCTTCCCCATTACCCTAATTCGTAATAGTGTCCATCCTCCTCTTCCCCATCTCCCCGATTAAGATTTGTAATGAACTGGTCAGACCAACATTTGAACTGTTGTTTCTTAATCTCATGCCGGGTATACAGATATCAAAGAACCTTCTCTCCCTCCTATAAATTAGAACGAGACAGATTCCCAGGTGTGCTCCTCCGCCATGGCTCAAATGCACACACATCAGCAGGCAGAGTGGTGTGAGGCATGGCTGCGGGCAAGGCGAGGCACAGGCGCTCCTGTGGACAGTGCCCTGCCCCAACGCGCCATCGCGCACGGGAGCTCCACTGCTAACCCTTGAAAGGGGGCTTTGAAAGGCTGGATCCTGGCTCTGCCCCTTACGGTCATTCAGGTGCACTTCTTGCACACGAGCTCCGCTGGGTTCACCCTGCCTTCCCACCAGCTCCTCAGTCACTGCTTCAAGCCGTGACTCAGCATTTCCACTACACTGAGACATGCTGAGCGAAGAGGAATTGTCTTGGCCCACTCACAAATTATCAAATTTATCTTCTTATATATTTTTATGAAAGCATAAAAAACCGCAACAATAAATCTTTTAAGTTATTTATGCTGATTGAAAACAGAGCCACAAATACACCCACAAATTGGTTTCGATTTTTTTTAAATAATTGTAAGCTATTTTCACATTCCTTTATTACAGTGGAAAGCAAGGCTATGTATTTTTTACTGTTCCCAGGAATGTGTTTAGCCAACGTATAGGAGCATCTACGTTTGATAAACAAGCTAACAAAAGAAAACAATTATTCCAGGAAAGTAAAGGTTTTAGCTCTGGAGTAGAAACTTGCATGTAGTCGCAGTAGGTGAAAGCACGGAAATGCCAACCAAGAGTTCTCCGAGAGCTCATTTAGCAGTAGTGGTGGTGTGTCTGAACCTTTCTTTGTTTCTTGCTCAAAGTTTGCTTTCCGAGACATTTCTCATGATAAGACTCTGACTTATCTAGGGGATGAGAGGTGAGTGTTGCTGTGTGGCAGTCGGCATCACTTTGTAAACACATTTACATTTGAAAGCATTTCTTTGGAGCTGTCTGCCTCCGGAAGAGAGTGCTCAGGTATGTTTTCTGGCAGAAGATCTGGCCTGTGACCAAATAACTCCAGCTTGGTATGGGAAAAATGGGGAATGATACCATCGTGTCCTGTGAAAGACAAGATGCAGGTGGGCACCTCCCTGCTCCCTCTGACCTGTGGCAAGGGTCAGAGGGAGATGGGAACAAAGGAGTTTCTGCTGCGATCTCAGAGCCAGAAGCTGCCACTCTAAAGAGTGCTGACTTGACTCCTTGGACTTACTTATAAATAAGTTTGTCTGCCTTTGGAAATAACTGCCGTCTTCGACATCAGCCAAATGACAACCCCTGACGACCCATCGCTACTGAAGTTCAACATCTGAACTAGGAACCACACTGGACCCATGGTGCTGACTACTTCTCTCTTGCTTTCCACAAAGACTCCTTGCTTCTATTTCCTATCATCTCTTTTCTACTGCCCATCTTCCCTTCCCCATATCCCTAAAAGACCAGGATTTGTAATAAGCTGGTTGGGGTAACATTTGACACGTTGTGTTTTAATCTCGCCATCAGGTATAAAAACATTTCAAAAGCCTACTCTTCCTCTTATAAATTGGAGTGAGACACGGGGATGCCGCTGGAAGGACTGAGTGGACAGACTTGAGTACAAATGATACGTTATCATTGCAGGCGATGGGACCGCTCTGTTATCTGTGCTTGTCAACACACTCTTCCAGAGAATTCACTCTCTCCTTCACCTATTTGTAAGGCTTATGTTATCAAGTTTAAAAGTAGAATGGAATATGTAACATGCTGAATGAAAGACACAGAGATAAGATTTTGCCCGCAGCTGCCTGCTGCCCCGTGTCCTAATGCTTCTGATGGAAACCTCTGAGGACCAGCGTACTGTTGGGCTGTGCGTATGCACACTGCCTGGTGCAACAGCATCTGTGTACTGCCGTTCATGCTTTGAACAAACAAAAAATTCCATTGCCCAGGGAATACGGGGAGTTACACAGAAAAACTTCATGTGCAGTTGGGAAAACTCATTACGATTTTGTCAAGATATGTTATCTTCACATAAAAGTCTTTCATGTAAGGAGAACTGAGAAAATAGGCGGGATCTTGGATGCTTTTTGCAGGTTGAAGCCTTACTGAGATGATGGGAACTTGTGTCTGTTACTGAAATCTGTGCGGCCACATGCTGAAAACACTGAGGAGAAGAAGACCAAAAGTGACGTTTCACTTGCCATTCATCAGGGGCAAATAGTTCCTTCTGCCATATATTTCAAAAGCTTCTCTTTGTAGCTCAGTGACAGTAGTAACTAACAGTTTTCCCTCAGCAATTCACACTTGGTTCGGAGGAGTCATTTTTCTCACTGATAGCTTTCCAAATTTCTTACCTATGCCTTTGGAGAAGGGAGTGAGCCTTCAGCTCATTGATCATCAGCCTTGTGAAATAATTTTAAGATTCAAGTGGTAAAATAACTTGGCCTTTGCAAGCCTCTTTCCCTGTTCATGGTCATTTGAATCATTTGGTCTTTTGGACACGTTTGCATTTTCCTACTTGCTTGCATGGAGATATGGGAAGATGTCATTTGGGCTTACAGGGATTAATGAGTTTTCACTGCATTCCTCACTGCAAGTCAGCAAGGCAATCTGCGAGTGGTAGTAACTCACGTGTAAAACGCTGTCATGAGAGTCATGTCAACTGCTCTCAGCATGAGCCAATTTGGGGTACCAGTTTTGGATCTGAAGCCGTTCTGCCTGGCTGGCTAGGTGCTCAGTCCTGCAGTAAGAATTCCAAGTAAGCCTTCCTCAAGTAATTTTTGACCACAGCTACAGTCTGTGGCTGAATCCTAAGAAACTGCAAGTATCAAAGACAACCTGTGCCTCGGAGAACCCACATGATCTGGCAGTTCATCAAGGCAGGACAGCGACCCCAGCTATGCCTGAAGGCATATCATCAGGATGGGAACACCAGCTTCAGACAACCATGGAACAGTTCATTATCTTGTTTCACCTTCTCCTGGTGCTAGAAGTAGTAAGATCAGAGTGACATGTAACCATCTCTCCTTTCAAAGAGACCATCAAGAGCAGTCCTCTCTAAAGCCCTGAATGCCGTGGAGAATTGATTGGTCTGAGTCAAATTAATACAGTCAGAACAAGTATTTCTCCCATGTACTTAGCGATGATAGGATGAGAAAGCCTCAAGTCGTGCCAGGGGAGATTCAGGTTGGACGTTAGGAAATACTTCTTCTCTAAGAGGGTGATCAGGTGCTGGAACGGGCTGCCCAAGGAGGTGGTGGAGTCACCAACCTGGGATGTTCAAGAAACATTTAGATTTTGTACCTAGGGGCATGGATTAGTGGGTAATACTGTGACAGGTGGATGGTGGGACTTCTTGGAGGTCTTATCCAGTCTTGCTGATTCTTTGATTTCTGTTTCTAAGCTCCAGAATCCCACTGTCTCCTTCACATGGATCAATAGATGTTTGTTGATGGGGTCTAATGCCTCTAAAGCACAAATGAGACATTTTGGAATTGGGATGGATTTTTACTGATGTTATCAGTGACAGGGCAGGCACACCTAATGCCTGTGCAGAACCAATGGTGCCATGATGAAGGGCTGCAGTGTGTTCTGGGATCAGAAAACAGCAGGTTTTGGTGGACGGCTGCCAAGGGCTGTCACCAGCTCTGCAGGCAGGACCAAGTGGAGGATGTCCCTCTTCAGCAGGACCAGGATGAAGAAGACAAGCTGCAGCAGGCCCAGGAACAGCAGAAACCTCCTGCGCAACAGAGGAAGGTTCATTCAGAACCAGGGGCACATTTGTCTCAGCACTTTCCAACCAGCCCCAGCAAACAGCCCATGGACCTTTGCCAGGCAGGGAGCGACCCAATCTATCATACACGGCTGCCAAAAACCCCACGCTGTGGGAATACAGGAAAAACTGTCACGAGCAGCAGCTGTGGAGCAGGATAAACAGCATGAGAACAAGGAAACCCCTAGAAGAAAGAACGGCTCACGGCTCCGACTGAGGAAGTGCCCGCGTGAACGGCTGGGGAGTGTTCGCAAACTGCTCTGTTGATATGTAAATGTGGATGGGGAAGTTGTAGAGCAGGATCGGAAAGCTAGAAAACTTGTGAAGGTATGTAAGTGGTGTGAGCACTTGCAATAAACGATTTGGATCGTTCACATCTGAGTCTGTGCATCAGGCGCTGCAAATGGCGCCGACCGCGTGCAGCAAATGAAGCCGAGGCTGAGCGAGCCCGACTGAAGTGCGGAGATTGTTTGGGCCCGAAGGTGAGCAGTCGGGAACTCACTAACGAGAGAGCAACAAGGAAATATTGAAGTATTACCGTTAAAGCTTCAGAATCGGGCTCTGTCTACCCCAGCATTTGTTACTTTTCTTAAATAGGTAAGCAGGAACGTCCCCGAATTTCCGAAGACTGGCTTCTCTCTTCACGGAGAGCTTTGGCACAAAACCGGCACAGAACTCTGCGAGACTTCTTTTACTAAAGACAGAACGGCTGCTGAACTTCCACCTGTTTGGCACCAGATAATGGAAGGACTTAAATTCGACAAGGAAGAACTTCTTCCCCGTCGCCCTCCCTCCCACCCCCGCCGCTGCCCCTCAGCCCGGAAAGCAGCCGCAGCCCGGATTCGATCCGCGGCTCCGACCCCGCACCCCGGCCGGGGAGAAGAGAAATGGCGCCTCCCCGCCGCGCTGCCGCCCTCCGCTCCGCCCCCGACGCTCGCCGTCACACAGCCTCCCTCCGCCCCCGCTGCTGCGTCCGTGCAGCCCGCGGCTAACTTGGTTAAAGGGCAGGCCGGAGGCGGAGGAGCTGTGTAAGGAATCCCTACCTTACGAGGCAGTAAAGGAGCTAAGGAAGTCGTTGAGAGGCTATGGAATTCAGTCTGCCTTTACATATAAAGTTTTCATTGCAATTGGTGACAGTTATGTTATGACCTCTCATGACTGGAAAACTCTGTTACGAACGATCCTGTCTCCCATGCAATATATTGTGTTTATGGCTGAATACCGAGAGCAGGCTACCATCCAGGCTATGAACAATTTGAATAACTTAAGTAATATTGGCATGGAGGAACTCATGGGGGAGGGGATCTGGGCAACACCTCAGGCCCAGGCGCAGATGGATAAGCAATGCCTCGAACAAGTTAAGACTTTGGTGTTGCACACCATCCATCAGATTCCTGATACTAATTCATCTAATGCCTCATTTACATCAATTAAGCAGGGGGCTGCCGAGCCCTACATTAAATTGCTTGAGCGTTTATAAAATATGCTAGAGAGACAAGTAGTAAATCAAGCCGCCTGGGATGCTTTGATTAAGCAATTAGCAATAGAAAATACAAATGCAGACTGTCAAAAAGTTTTACAGTCCATAAGGAATGCAGATGCATTCACTACTGGTATGATTGAAGCCTGTCAAGATGAAGGCACAGAAAGTCATAAAATGGCCTTGCAAGCAGGCATGCTGGCAGCCCGACTCGATGCAGGGACAGCTCAAGAAATAAAATGTTACAATTGTACATCATGTACAAAGGGACTGTAAAAAGCCTAAGCAAGCAAATACAAATGCTTGTGCTATTTCAACTTGACCCTGTCCCCTGAGCAGGAGGGGGCTACATTGGGTGAGAGAATGCCAGTCAAAATTCCCTGTTGCTGCATGGCCATGCGGTCTGCGGGGAAATGGGAAGAAGAGCTTGAGTTTTACATTATGTCTCTCACCATACTCTTCCTTATTTCATTATGCATATTCATTCATGCACTATGTTGCCTGGTCCTTTAACTGAGGGCAACCATAAGGCTAATCAAGCCACAGTTGCCTTTGCCACCCCTCAATTATTTCATGAGCATGACTCTCCCATCAATTTTTCCATCAGAATAGGAGAGCCTAGCAAAAACAATTCCAACTGACAGTGGATCAAACCTGTAACATTATTCTAACATGCCCAGACTGCTAGGCAATTGCCCCTTTGCCTCAAATTGGGACAAATCCTTGTGGCACAGCATCTCTTCAACTGTGGCAGACAGCTGTCACTCATGTTCCCAAATTTGGCCGGCTAAAATATGTACATGTAGCAATAGATACTCATTCTTCTCTTCTTCTACTCTTCTCTTCTACTCATTCTTCTCACTCTTCTTACATACTTGCCACACGCAGTCACGATGCCTGTAAACACTGGTTGTCTGCTTATGCTGTAACGGGGATCCACTATACTGTAAAAACAGGTAATGGACCAGCACATACTTCTAAGGCCACTTGAACTTTCTTCCAAGAATGGAGGGTTAGACATATTACAAGCATTCCACATTCTCCCACTGGACAAGCTAACATTGATTCATCAATCAAACATTAAAATCCATTCTTAATAAACAAAAAAGGGAGAATGTGGGAGACACACCACAAGAAGGACTATGTAAGGCTTTGCTCGTGCTGAACTTTTTGAATCGAGATCATACAGATATAGCTCGTGTGGATCATCATTTTGGAGCCTCCTCAATGCCCAAGGAACTCTGATTCCTGTTACTAAGCTCCAGAATCCCACTATCTCCTTCCCATGGTTGAATAGAATGGGTCTAATTTGTGCTCTCATGCACAAATGAAACATTTTGGAATTGGGATGGATTTTGTTGATGTTATCAGTGACAAGGGAGGCACACCTAATGCCTGTGCAGAACCAATGGTGCCACGATGAAGGGCTGCAGTGTGTTCTGGGGTCAGAAAACAGCAGGTTTTGGTGGACGGCTGCCAAGGGCAGTCACCTGCTCTGCAGGCAGGACCCCGTGGAGGATGTCCCTCTTCAGCAGGACCAGGATGAAGAAGACAAGCTGCAAGAAGCCTAAGAACAGCAGAAACCTCCTGAGCAACAGAAGGTTCACTCAGACCCGGGGGCACATTTGTCTCAGCACTTTCCAACCAGCCCCAGCAAACAGCCCATGGACCTGTGCCGTACAGGGAGCAACCCAATCTGTCATACCTCTCTGCAGGGCTGTCAGAATCCCAACCCCACCTGCTCTCCCCACCCAGAACACTAAGAAATACTGAAGCCCTGTACAGGTCTGGCCTTCCCAAGCTCCAGCTGGCGGCACAGATGCCTGGGGGCTGCTGGCATCCCAGCTCCCCTCTGCCTCGGGACTGGACTGTGCTGGGGCCTCAAACACAGGGCAGTGCACCTTTTGGTGTTCTCTCTTGCCTTTTGGAGGTTCTTCATCTCTACCTCCACCTCCGCCCTCAGTGCCTGGAGAAGGAAAGGGTCCAGTCAAGAGCCTGCCCTGTGCCTGCTCGCAGGGGGCTTCCCCCATAAACGCGCTGCTCTCCATTCTCTCCCTCCCACCCTCTGTACCTTGCGGATTTTTGCCTTTTCTCTGACAGCATCTGCCAGCTCTGCAGATCTCTTCTTACACTGCAAGGCAATCGGGACCACTTACGTGGATGTAGGGTGGCTAAGGGCATTCTCAGCCTGTCCCCAGGGCACGGCAAGGCCAGGCCAGAGCAGGGCAGCGAGCCCTGCAGCACCCCGGCTCTGTGCCCAGCAGCTCTGCCCTGTGGGATTTCTGCAGGCGGCTCACACACCTCCATCAGCTCCTGCACAGCACGGCTGACTGATGTTGTCTTCCACCAGGGATTCCCAGGTGTGCTCCTCCGCCATGGCTCACCTGCACGCACATCAGCAGGCAGAGCGGTGTGAGGCACGGCTGTGGGCACGGCAAGGCACGGCACTCCTGTGGACACTGCCCAGCCCCAGCGCGCCATCGCGCACGGGAGCTCACGCGTGCTCCTTTCCAGCTGCGCTTTGGCACCCGGGCGTCCCACGTGCAGCCATGGCCGCTGCCATCAGTGCCACACGGGTACGGCTGCCAGCCCACGGGCACGCTGCCTCAGACCCGACACGGCCATGCTCAGGCACAGCGAGAAGGGAAGGTGAGGCCCGGCACCAGGCTAACCTCAGGACTTCTGCCTACCGCTCGGTGCTCGCAGTCACAGACGGGTTCCAAACGGTCCTCGACCACGCTGTGGGCTGGGAGGGCGCTGGGGGCAACCTCTGCCTTTGGTCTGCTCTCCCAATCTCTCCCACCTCCTCACAGTGCCGTTGCTCAGCACCAACTGCTCTCTCTGCCCAGGGAGCAGCGCTTCTGCTACTCTGCAAGGTGGTTGTGCCACAACACAGGGTTGCTGTGCTCACTGTGACACGTGCCACACTGCCCACGGGGAAGTGGCTGCTGGTGCAGAAATGAAGGAACAGAGCTCTGGAAGGCCTCAGGTGGGCAGGGATCTCCTGAGAGATAGCCTCACCTCCACTGCTAACCCTTGAAAGTAGGCTTTGAATGGCTGGATCCTGGCTCTGCCCCTTGCAGTCCTTCAGGTGCACTTCTTGCACACAAGCTCCGCTGGGTTCACCCTGCCTTCCCACCAGCTGCTCAGTCACTGCTTCAAGCCGTGACTCAGCATTTCCACTACAACTTCTCAACTTCTTCCGCTTGTGCTGCAACTAACTTTTTTCATCTACTGTCATTCATAACTGAGGTCGTTCTGGAAAAGAAATATTAAAGAGCTAGTCTCAATCTTATGATAGTTGCATCTGCCAGGAGATATGAATGTTCTTATCCCTTTGTTTGTTGCACATTGACTCATAGAACATTTGAAGTGCTGTTCTCTGGTACAGACTTAGAAACCCTTGGCACTGGGCTTTTGCTAATATTTTGAAGATAAAATGGGAGTTCAGCTTGTTTGAGTAAAGGCAATTATTCAATCACTTTTAACAAGAATTATGGCAGTTGAGTAATACAGTTTTGTCTTTAAAAAAATTAAGTTCTAATTAGGATGATAACATCTTTTATTTGTCTAAGATTTTAAAGTACTTACAAGGTCACCTACTTACATTTGAATCCTCAATTAATTCTTTTTTTTTCAATGCCACCTTGGTAACTTTCACTATATACCACAGCCTCCCATTGTGTACAATTTCACGGTAACAGAGTTTCAATTAAGTAGATGCTTAGGATTTCTTTTGCATCTTCATAAGAAAGGCACGGTAAATACAACTTCGGGTGATAAATTGTCCTTGTTATATGTGCTTTCTAAAAGATAAAAGGAATAGGGCTTGTATTTTCAATCCTTTTTTTTTAATCCCATCATCTGGAATGGACTGGAAACACTGACAATTTTTACAACGCACTGTGTCTAAGGTAGGAAGGGAGGCACACAGCCACAAGATACTGAGCTTTCACTGTAGCTGAGCATTACTGAGCAGTACAGCAAACCATGCTGAAACACGCATGGTAGCAGAAACTATAATTTGTTCTTTTGTTGTTCCTCTGGTAGTTTATGTTTCCCTAAGGCTTATGCTGATTAGTGTACCTCCTCTCTTCTTCCCAGCACTCCCCTTCTTTGCTGCCTATACCCCATCCCAAAGCCCATATCTGTACCCATCTCACACTTTCTCTGGACACTCCACCTGTCATCGTTTCCTTTCTCCTGTTCCATATGCACTGCTGTGGAAATGCCAGTATCCAGCCTCTGTTGCTCCATGGCTTCTCCCAGTCGTGGGCTGAAAGTAAAAGTCACTATGGGTTGTCTGTTTTATGTATATGTGCCTTTATTTGCTTTTGTGGCTTCTATCCAGCGGCTCAAAGTCTCCTAACTACCCCTCTATTAAGAAAAATTAATAAGCTACACAGAATTTTGAACTCAGTATAAAACCAGAGATGTAAAGGAGCCAAAACAGCAGTGGAACATGAACATAAATTGATACCTGTTAACGAATTTTATAGATTAACAGCATTTGTGGGCTTAAAAAACCTAAAATGGTCTCTGCATATTCAGCTGCAGAAATGATTTACTCATCTCCCCCCCCCTCCCCTCCACTCACACCCTTCTCTGTCGAATTATTTTTGCCCTATAAAATTGTGGAAGAGTCCCCCTTGTGGTATATGCCTTAAAAGCAACATTTGGAAATACGTATGATTTCATCTGGTCTGTTTTTTTTTCCCCTCTAGCCTGCATGTTAAATGTATAGTTATTAGATCAGAAGCACAAGTCATGTTGTGGGTGCTGACTTTCTCTAGCAGAGTTCTGCAAATATCTAAGACGACAGCAATTAAAAACAGTAAGATAGGTAATGCTGCTCTAAATTCACAGCTTGTGAACCGAGGGCTTCATCACAGATTCTGCAAAACATACTGTGAGAGTAGAGGGTAAGAAAGCTGTGAAAGAGACATTTCACAGGATTTTACTCAAGTGTGAAAAGCTGAAGAAGAGAATCAAGTTAGCACGACAGTGCATCTAGAAAGAACAAAGCTGTTGGCTGTGCCTGTCCACACTGATCTTGCCCCTTAGCCTCCTGGGAAGATACAGCATCTCTTCACCTGACCACCTCCACTTTCCTTCCCTTTTACAGTGTTGTTTACTTAAGTGTACAAAAACCTGAGCACTGCATGGGATAGTTTACAGATCCACAAATTATCTTTTAAGTGTTATTAATCTGATAATGTATTTTCTCCCTTACACTTCCACTGTTGGGTGTGTTAACAACTTCATCCACTAATGAGCTGTTCAGGGCAGCTGTGCTTTGTGGGCTGCCCTGTTTCCCTTGCAAGGTAAGGGAGCCTTTGTTTGGCAGTGTATGTGATCTAACTCTGCCAGGTCACTCCATCTGTAGAACAGGTGTGATTGGATCACATTCAACTCCAGACAGCAAAGAGTAGGAAATATAGATTTCATTGCATGTTTTTGAGGCTGAATTAGTGTTAAATCTGTCTTACCTGCAGATAGGAAGTATTCCCCTCTCCTTTGTGAGCTCACACATTTTTCGTCCAATTGCAGCAGCTGTTTCTTCCTTGACCATTTGTTTTCTGTGCATAGCAGTGGATGAAATAACCTAGGGGCTCAATACCCTGCATTCTGCTGCAGCAGCATCTCTGAGCAAAGCCTGTTTGACACCATAGGAGAGGGAAAAAAAAAAACAAAAAAACCGTGAGGCCCAACCTGAACAAGAATTCTGCACTTTTCAGAAGAACAGTTTTTAAAAGGAGTGTCCTTTCCATTAAGCTAAGGGTATTCATCCACTCCAGACACACTGCGGCTGCCTTGTTCCAGTTCGTTACCTATGAGGCTACAGTGGTTGAGGGCTGGGTGAAGTTACTGATCAGCTTACTTAAAGCTGAGACCTGAGGATGGAAGTAAACTAAAATGTGCAGCTTACCTTAAAAACTAAATTGCACAGCCTCTTGTTCTGCAACTGTTTGATTCTGGAAGCAGGTAACCTCACTAAGCTGGTGAGGTTCCCTGGCCAGCACTTTGCATGGGAAAAAACTTCATCTTGGAGCTGGTGCCTGGAGACTGAGCCCAAAGGCAGCTCAGGATCTCATTTGGTGACTGTTTCCAAGCATTACACAACAGAATGGAGACCCCTGACTCCTGTCACTGTGATCCCACTGTCTTTCAAGGGAAGAGAGGAGAACTGCAGTTTTTCTACAGCTGTTTGGGCATTCAGAGTAAAACTGGGGAGACCCAGCCCGTGGAGCTATCTTGAGGTCATCTGCCAGAATTGGTGCCAAAATGCCAGAGAACAGAAGAGTGAGGGGTTATTTTTTTGGTCCAGTTCAGAAGTCTCTTAATGCCCAGAGTCTGAAAGGTGCACAGATTACCCTCCGCATGTGCTGCAGGGTTTTAGTGCAGTCTGAGCAGGGCCCAGAAGATGTCAGCACAAGACAGCAGTACATGAGGCAGCAGCCCTTAAAAACAAGGAGGAGTGGTAGATCCATGCAATAACCAGCCTGGACAATCTCCAGAGATTCTATTGTTGGTTTTGTATTTAGAAATTTGTTTTAATAATCATGTGAACAGTAGTGTAAGCAGTGTCAGAAAAACTAAAATGTGGCAGTAGTTGCAACGCTTGTTTTGGGAGAGAAATTTTTTAGTAAAGATCAGAAATATCTATTCCTGAATGCTAAGTGATTTACAAGACCAAAACCAAAGGCTATTTTCGCATAGTCACAAAAGAAGTCATGGGAAAAACCTCAGTTTTGTCCATAAAAGGAGCGGTCAGATGGTCAAAATAAGTGGGCTCATTCAAAACAAGCAGCGTCTCACTCGTTTTTGCATTGCTCTGAGGTTGTTCCTCTCACTTCCTCTTCCCTGTTGTAAGTTTAACGAGTTTCTCATTTTTACTAGGAAGTCAGAGTCACTTTTTTTAACAAAATAATGCCGTATAAATAAATAAAGCAACTTCTCTTTTGCAAAAGCAGCATATAAAAAAATGAGGCAAATAAACATAGCTGTGATGTGTCAAAGCAATCCACTTGGGACTGACGAAGGCATGCACATTAAGCTTTCCAAACTCTGCAGCTGTACACATTTGAGTGTACAGCTTTTAGTTGCTTTCCCTTACTTAAGGCTTGAGTCTCTGTTCTGGTTTACTGAGAGGTCTGGGCGTAGAACTCATCCAATATGTAGCCTTGTGAAAATTGACATGCATGTGCATGGCAGCTTTGGGCAGGTTTTGCCACTTGTTTCCATAGAAGAATCTCAATCTCAACCATACTTACAAATTAATTATATTTCTTATTTGCAAAGAGTAATAAGACTTTGATAATAAAAATGCTAACTTATTAACTAAAATATAAGGAGTAGGTTTCAGATTATTCCTAATGCTGTGCCCATAACAATCTCAGATTCACCCATTCAAACTGTCACAGCACTTCAGTCGTGGTAGAAAAGATTTAGATTTACCCATGCTGTGGTCTCTTGGCTCCCCTTAACACAGTATATCCACGCTTTGCAGGCTCTCAGAAAAGCAATCTGCCTTTGATGCTGGCTGAGTTGGGCTCTTAAAACTCCCCGCTGATCCACCTCATTTCTCTGGGCCAGCACTTTCCTCTGGGTCACATTCTAACATGACCTGATTTTTGAATATATATTTTTGCCCGTGCTGTCTAAATAAAAACGTATCTCAGGGGAAGCTTCTCAATATAGGACAGCTCAAAAAAAAAAAAAAAAAAGGACTTTTTTTCTGACAGTTACAGGATCTGACAACATCAAACAGGTTGTCCGCTAGGCTTCAGTTTGTGCATGTGAGATAGGAGGACAATTGCATTTTGTAAATGAACTAAGTTGTGAGCTTTGCTTCAGGCTCAGTCCTCTGAGATCTTGTATTTGCTTATTTGAAACCTTGAATTAGAAGCTGAATGTAACAGGTGACAAGTACAGTAACTCAACCACATAAAGTGCCTTCTACATACAACTGCCAAATCAGCCATTCTAACTATCTGGCTTTTGAAACCATTCTCTGATAGTGCCTGCTTTACAGTTCAGCTTTACTGTACTGTAAGTCTGACTCCTATATTTTGCTAGTATATTTTCATCATGTGCTGTCAACATTACCACTGACTGACAGGGTAACTAGTAACCATCTTCCTACCCTTTTCTGTACCTGAAGTAACACTAGATGGCAATGATGTACATGGAGAAAGAGAACAGACTCAGCATCAGGTTAGGTAGAGGAGCTGATTGTTATTTACTTAAATAACAATTAATTTCACTCCCTCTTATTAAGAGAATCTTATATTGGCTAAGAAAATGCAGAAAATAAGAAACATTACAATAAGACTGGTGCACAGAGATTTAAATTAAAGACAAAAGGTGTGTAAATGATAACATCCAGGACTGGTTATATTCTGAACACTGCTAGAATCAAAGAAATGAAGGAAAGCCATGCTTTAAGAACTGGATACTGATGTCTAATAGTGCAGTGGAAGAGTACACGCACACCCCTTTATATTAATCCATAGTTCAGTTTTAGGCAAAATTTAAAAACGTTTTCCACACACCTCCCCCCCAGTTCAGATGGCTCACATGCCCTTCCCTGGCCTTACCTTAAAATTGTTTATGAGTATTTACTCCCTGAGATCCTTCGGCTTTTCCAGCCCTGTGTATTACTCCTGCCTCTTTCCCTTTCCTAAGAAAGGAATCAGCTTTGGTACACTGACAGCTGGAGCTCTCAGCTGGGCTGCTTACTGGGGAGGCCCCTCTTGGCCACTCCTGCTGAAGGATGGTAGTGAAGAAGAGCGATAGCAGAGTCAATTCCACCAAGAACAACAACAGTGGGGATGTTCCTTTCTACAGGAGAGTGCAGTACAAAAGGCTAAAATTCCTCTGTACAAGACCAAAGCAGCTTCAAAAACTTGCATGGCAAGTGGAACCTGACAAATGTTAGTACCTTCTGCCCTCTTCTTTATTCTGGTGTGCTACAGTGACCCAGCTTTCATAAACCACAGAGTTTAGCATGCATAACCTCATATAATTTATAAGTTTGTTCTAAGTACAAACAGTGCAATGCACCTCCATCTCCAAGTCTGTTGCCCTGTGTAAGGGTAGGCTAGGCGATAACAGATGCAGTTGCTTTAAACTAGTTTTGGATTACCCAAGAAAGGTAGCAGTCACAATCTGGAAACAAAGAAGGAATCACTTAACTATTTCCAAGGATCAGGACTTACCAAACACTCCAAAGGAATGGGGATCTCTGATTAGAAGTGCTTCTCCTGATGCTGCCAGCCCTGAAATGAGATTTTGGAGAGGTTGTAGTCAGCCCTGGGAGCACAGGTGGAAGCAATACGTCTGTGTGATCCTGGCTTCACCCCTTCACCAGGTGCTCAGGACCTAACAGTTCCCACACACCCTACTATCCATGTGCTATGAAGACCACCTCACAAATGCCACACGTTTTTTCGTTAGTAGTGATTAGATAGCAACAACCTTTCACAAGAAAGGATAGAAAAGCTTCTTGTATATGGGAATCAGGTGCCAAGTCCCTCATTAAGTGTTTCTGTGTCTGCTGTCCTGGCTCTACTGCACACAGCTATGCTGTTTGCCCATGGGAATGTGGCTTGGAGTGCCCTGCTGCTGAGTGGAGTCATCTTTTGCAAAGGTGAGCACACATTTTTCATAAGTAGTAATTGACTCTCTGTTACTGGGATGAACATCTTGCTTTAGCCTGCCAGATTCCTAGTTCCTCCACTGTAACAACAGCCCATCACAATTCTGTTGTATTGCGTGGTCTGCCTGCCCAAATTTAGGCTGCTTGCTTTTAAAGCCTATTTGAAATTAAATATTTGTTATGGAAATAGTGGGTCTTGGAGAAGATGTCTAAACCTTCCTATTTTTTCCCCAGATCTCAACAGTGTTCAGTGGAAGTTTCTGTCCTTACTTAAAGGTAACTGCAGATCAACCCCAGGTCTTTCAAAGGAACATGCTGTTGCCAATACGTTCTATACTATTTTCTTTTTTAAGGGCCTTCCTTACACTTAATTTGGGTATTCAAAAAGCTATATATGGATATGGGGGCTATGTAATCAGGGTTACGTTTAAAATGTAAATGTTTACTATATAGTTTGACCTGCTCTTGCCTCTCATTTATGCTATTTTTGGCTAGTCTGACTAGATATTTTTGTTTTACCCTGTTCAAATAGTATCTTTGTATATTAAGTTTACTCATTCCAATTTTACATTAAGAATCTTGTCACTAAATAGATTTCTGTGAGGAAGATATTGATATTATTTAGGGAAAATATTTTAGACAAGTGACGGATTTAAATTGTATTTCCTAGGTTCATAAGCAGATTCAAATTTCAAGGAAACCTTTAAACAACAAGAACTGATTTGTTAAATTTTATCATGCTGGTGGAATTCTGGAGGAGTAGGTAAAAATCAGTATTTAAAAAGCTGAAAAGACTGATAGGTGTGAGGTGGCTTGACAGTGAGCCCAAAGCTGGATGCTGGAAAGATGTTCCAGATGCAATTAGTGAAAGAATTAAAGGAATATAGTTTACACTAATAAGAGCATTTTGTGAAAAACAATTATGGTGAAGCAAATAGGAAGTCTATTCTAACAAGGTTAGAAGTTTAATCACTGAGATTAACTTTAGGTAGTGGGGCTGCAAAATCATTTGAAGCGCTTAAAGTGCCATGAAAAAGGACGTAACGTGGTGTTTAAATCAAGACTGGTGTGTTTAGGAGCTAGAAAAGTACAGTTCAAACACATGTCAGTCTTGCATGTTGGGGAGAGAAGCCCTGAGACCTCCAGCCTTGGTGAGCCACAGCCTGTTCTGCCCCTCACATCTCAGAGGTGAGCTGAGTATATAGAAAAGTATATAGAGTTAAAAATGCTGATGCTAAATTGTTTGGCACTTTTCAGGAAAGCAAATGTGTGGAGAAAAAAACTGGACTGGAGACAAAACAAGAGGGTCCTAAGTGAGAGAAGTATAAAGATATCTCCTTTTGTAGTATCACTGTGGATGAGAAATAAAAAATGCACAGGAATCCCAATGCAGATGAGGAGAGGCTTCTGTTTGGCTATCCTAACCCACAGGTGACATTGCACTGGAAATAAATACCAGGCTCTGGCTTGTCAGCAGGACTTTGGGGGAAGCTGGCTGAGGTTTGCTCAGGGAAGTCTGTCTCCCTATAAGCTGAAGAATCTGACATGTTTGGGCTGTGAATTATACCAAGTGCCCAACCTGTGTGTGGTAAACAACACATCTTTGACTGATAGCATGCACTGTGTGTTGTCTTGCTGGGAAAACATCAGGCTTACTTATTCCTACTGAAATGTCCTTTTCACAGGACCTTCACTGAAGTGAGACTAAGTCCAGATTTAAATAAATGTCAGCAGCTCCTTGATAAGTGTCTCCTTACCAGTGCTACGAGTATGATCAGCCCTTGATCAAGTGGAAAGAATTAGGCATGCTGGGGTGGTTTGAAGATCCCAGGGAGATAGTTTCCCCCTTTCTACAGTTATATTTAAATTCACATTTGTAATCTAGAACAATGTTTAATCCTGAGGTATTTCTACTTTATACCTATTTTTCTAGCACAGCACCCATCATTTGGCTTGATCACAAAGGCACTGGTTCAAATAATTTTTTAAGAAGTCATTTAAAAGAACTAACTCCAGGTGAGGTAGCTATGACAACTTGGTAGCAAGCTACATTTCTGGTACAGGGAGAAAAATACCTGTTTTTCCCCCCTTTCTACGGGTTGTCATGGTTTTAAACCATGGGTCTGACTTAACTGTGAGCTTGCATTTCTAGTGTAAAATGGTGTCAGAGCTGATTTTCATAACTGGTGTTAGGGTAACACGGTACTGAGTCTTTTATCACCAAGTGTGGAAGTTTATTTTCTTTACAAGAGGTGGATGAAATATAATTTCAAGTAGTTCTATAGGGATTCATCACAAATATTTAATGGCCAAACTGTGTTTCATAGACTTGGAGGAATAATCACTTTTAGGTGCTAATTTATATAATTAATGCTTTAAAATTGCAGATAATTCTACAATAGAGGAAGTCTTTAATATTCTATACCATTATAAATAAAAGTACAAGATAGAAGCCAAATAGTAAATTAGTATTGGAAACACATATTGAAGGAACTACCACAATCAAGTCAGAATAGCTTTTCCTTTTCAGGAGATAGTCACTCCATCAGTTTCCTTGGTGAGTCATTTAAATCAGAAATGAGGTAAATTTGTGAACTCTTGGATGGAACAGGCAATTTATAAAGCACAATGATTTCAGTAGCAGGGAAAGAAAGTGCTCATTAAGCGCTAAATATCTTGCAGGAGTGTTATTGAATACATTTAGTCTGTCCAAAAAGAGTGTATTTCATGTCAGACTTGCTGAAATCAGGTCTGATTAACATTTTTGCAGAATAACTGAGCGCCCCAAATGCTGTTGAGTTAACATGAAGACCATCTTATTTCCATGTCACATGTAGGGGAGCTAAAATAAATCTGTTGTAAAGACTTTGAAAGTAAAAACAAGTGGAGAGGGAGAAGATTTGCATAGTCCTGCCGTTTACGTCTGCAATCACAGGCATGAAACAGAGATAAAACAGAGTAACAGCTTGCATGGGATGTGAAGGTTGGCAATAGAAAATAGGAAAGAAAAAAAAAAAGAAAAAAAAACTAGCAGAGGCTTCAGCAAACCTCCCCACACCTGTAGGGATTTGATGAACTTTTGGTTCCAAAGCAGGTTATGCTGACTTGCACCAAGAGGTGCAGTGTGTAGTAAACTTGATGGTTTGTTAAAGTTATGTTATTTGCCACTGTACAGTCAACAAATGTATAGTTAGCAGAGTGGTGTGGTTAGGATGGTATTTTACAGGTTTTATAGTTAGAAAGATGATTGTGGTGGAAAGAGATAATAAAAAATAAATGAAATGCACACCCATGTTCTGGGCTCGAAGAAAAACTCCAAAGGGAGGGATTTCCAGAAAAAAGATCCTTCCTTAGTTTCAGTCAGCCCTTAAATGGGGTCTGGGAGAGGTGCAGCCAGGCTCCAGCCCTTCTGGTTACAGAGCTGAATTACCTTCACCTGTGCTCCATGGCTGACTCAGTGCTTGCCTCAGGTGGTCAATCAGAGGTTCAGGCCGTGACTCAACAGTTCCCATACAGCCTCTCTTTTAGTTTTTCTGCTTACTGGGGTTGTTTCCCAGTCGTCTCCTATCCTTCTGTAGTGTTCAATGTTTTGTTAGAACTTTTTCCTCGAAAAGCGACTTTCACTTAAGACAGCTGTGAGACAATTGAATGTGTATACCACGTGGATTTGTAAAAAAAAGTATTTGCAAGTTAAATGCAGTCATATCAAGAGCTAGACTTGTAGCATGAAGTTTTCAACAGACAAAGGATAGGGAAATTTAGCTGCAATAGCACAGAACTGCTTGCAGCGAAAGATGCTCTCCACTCTTCTGACTGAGGCTGAAGTTTGGCAGCCCTTGTTTGATAAACAACTGTAAGAAAGGAGAATAAACAACTCTCTCCTGCTGTATTCACCCAGAAGTCAATGCAAAATCACCTCCACTGGATTTCCTTCAAAGCATTTGAAATTTTTCTTTTACAAAACAGGGAGTCTACTTAAAAAAAGGTAAAAATTATTTTCTCCAATACACCAACAGTTATTTTCTGTGCTATTATTACTACTTAAACAATGCTACATCTAGGAGATTGCTGCAGAATGACCTATTTCAGGCCCTGGCTGAGGATGTGCTCTGCAAACTTCACCCTGCTTCTGTCACAGCCTGGGCGTTCCCTGCTTCAGCTGCCACGACCTCTTGGAGGGGCTCTTGACTTTTGTACATCTAAAATAACCCTGAAAATAACCTGGGGAAAACATATAGTTTCAATCTCACCACCTCTCTTAGCTTCCCATCTACACACAGGCTGTTGGCAATGGCAAGTCACAATGAGCTTACTCATCAAATGAACGTGTTTAATAAGAGACTTGTGGCTAGGTTTAAGTAATCTCGATATGATAGATACAACACTATGCATATGACAAATTGAAGTTTGCATTTCCATACGCTGTTAAAGCTGAGAATAGTTTTTATCGTGTTTCTTTCACATTTTCATTCACAAAAGAGGTTTACAATCTTCAATTGCAATCTCCTGAGAGGTCCCAAAAGCTGTGGGCTGTGCCTCTTTTGTACTGAGAAGATCACTGTGGGGTCACAAACAAAACTTTAATTCCATGCAGGACCAGAACCACCTGAAAGGCAGTATTCAGATCCATTGCAGTACTCCAAAGATGTATTGCCAGGAATCCTTCTTATTTCATGCATCAAATGAGCACTGTTACCATTTTTTAGGCTCTTAATACACTGGGTAAATGTAACCCCCCTTTGTATGGAACTCCTCATCATGCATTATATCCCTCTGTAAGTGAGATTATTAGCATGGTGTAGTTCTTGTGGCCTTCTTTGGTGACCTCACTGGAAATAACTTCTGTGAGCTGTCTGGCTTCTTTATTACAACCCAAATGTGGGTGTGAGGACATTCATCTGTTGCGTCGGTGCACTGTTATGCAGGTAGCATCTAGTTCTCAAAACCAGCCACAAAATTCCAACCGTGGAGCCCTGAGGCTGTAGAGAGAGGCCAGGAGTCAAGTCCAACAGTGCTGAAATTCAGTGGTGGATCCAAGGAATTTAAACTGGAATTAGCAAGGTCAGGAAAGTCAGGACTCCCTGAGGACGTGCCTTGAAAATGTCAGTTAACCCAAACCACCACAAAAAGTATTGCAAGTAGCGATGATGAATTCTGACTCTCATATTATGCTGTGCTTTGGAGGTCTTGAGGATTTTGTTTGGTTTGACCTGGATATCAGAATAACCTTAGTAGTATATTAGATGTTAGGAAATATAAGTTTCAGCAATGAGAATTGTATTTGAATGCAACCATCGCATTTCTTGGACATTCTCAACATAGAGTTGGGAATATTAATTGTAAGCTCAAGTCACGGGTATTGCTTCTGTAATATACATGTAAGCAAGTTTGTAATATGAAGAAATGCTTTTTTGGATTGTCTGTTGTTTTTATTATTGCTTAGAAATCTTTATTGCTCTAGCGCTCATTAATATTCATTTCTGTTCTGCAGAAATTTGACATCTTCAATAAAACAGAGGTTATTGGTAGTCTTAATGGTATCTAGTACATTTTAAAGCCTGAGGAAAAGAAAAGAAGCAGAAAGAATATACAAAAATTATTCTTCAAAACTGTGATATCAGCTTTGAGTTGGAGTGTATTATGGTGTGAGGTTTATATCCAATTAATGCCTGGAAAGAGTATTTTTGTCTATGAATGTAAAGCTAGCATATTTATGAAAGCTGGTCAGTAAAGCTTTCTGTCCCAAGTAAATCTATCCCCCAAAGTTTCAGACCTAATTCTTGTGCTGGTTTGCTCAGAACAAGCTCCTTACCCCCCACACCTCCCCGCACGAGGAAGAGAAGTGTGAAGATTACATAAGGAATTAGGTCAGGATAAGTATATAACATCAACCCACAAGGTGACTTGTGAAGGAAAAGCGTGTTAGAGAAAAGGGAGATAATAGAAATTGAGAATCATATTGCTGATGTGTAAAACTTCATCAAGGATGAGCTGCTCTTTTAAGTGGTAGTAGTAAACCTTTCCCTTTTGTGGATCTCTCTCCTAGCAAGCAGGAAAGAGTAGATGTGTAGAGCTGATGAGGACCTACCTACCAGTGGTTTGTACTGTTGCAGTTCATATTTGACTTCTTCTGAATGGTGACTATTAGTCCTACTGCCACCTGGCATTTTAGATAGTAGCTGGCCGAAGATAGCTTGCTTTCAAATGTGGATTTAGTTCTAAGGCAAGTATTCGATCATCCCACTGGGTTTTTTTTCCCTGTTTTGGGGGATGTTTATTTTACTTAGCTCATATCCTGTATGAAAGACCTGGCCTGGTTACAGGAAAACACCAGCAATTACTTGCATGTGAAATGCTGGATGCAATCACTTTGCTGTCCAAGTGAAGGATGCACACTCTCTGTAGCACAACATTTACATTTCCAGGAGAGGCAAAAAGCTGGGAGCAGCCCCTGTGAACGAGCCAGCCTCTTTCTTCCTGTCCACTGATTGATTCATTTAACTCTACTGCTGTTTGGAAAACTCATTTTTAAGTTTGGGCCGTTTGATGTACCAATGACCCAATGGGATTGATTTGGTCAGATATAATTCATTCGCCTCCTTTTTCACCTGGAAAGTTCCAGGATGCCCCATCCCTGGAGATGTTCAAGGCCAGATTGGATGGGGCCCTGGGCAGCCTGGTCTAGCATTAGGTGGGATGGTTGGTGGCCCTGCATGTGGCAGGGGGGTTGGAGATTCATGATCCTTGAGGTCCCTTCCAATCCTGGCCATTCTGTGTTTCTCTGATTCAGGAGTTGCAGATGATTTCAGTTTTCTTTAAAAAGTGGTCGTACTTTTTGAGAAGCACGTTTCAACTAGAGAAAGGAGCTTGCAGGACCTGACCATTCTTCGAAAGCTCGCTTTTAACCACAGTGGTATTTCCAGAAAACGTCAGTAGAGAGCGCTCATGAAACATGCATGTCATTGGCGTCTGCTACAAGATGCCACATCTCTTCGTTTGCTGCTAGGGGAGGCTGTGCTTTGCCACCGTAGGCTGGCAGCTGGGGATAATATCAATAGGTTGCCGAGTGTGATCTGCTACAGGGAAAAAGGCTGAGGCACCAGAAGCAGTTAACTTTGGGTTATGTTTCAGATTTGGTTTTATTGTGTGGATTATATACAGAGCGTGGAGTATGGCAACCTTTTCTGTCCATCTAGAAACTGTGCTCGATAGCTATTGTAGCTCAGTGAAAGGTCTGCCAGCCTGCCTGGGACTGTGTAGTATCACAGGATTTGCACATTTATTGTGCTACAGAACAAATGCAGCATTGACATAAAACTGCATCAATTAAATATGTGCCAAACTGTTTCCTGAATGTTTATTGTGCTGTTGAACAGATTAGAAAGGTGCACAAATTTCTTTAAACTTGAGGTTTTTCCCACTGAGATACGTTTCATGCTTGGCATGCCAACTTCAAACATGACTTAACTGTTGATGGGAACAACCTCCTATTTGCTGTTAGTGATATCATAATGAACCTTGGTTAATATTTCCTGGTAGAGACATGGCCATAAGTGGTATCTATTTAGTTCTTCCTTTCCCTTCAGTAGTAGTAATGTCATAATAAGCAATGCATTGCTGAAATGACAGAACAGTTTTTTCCCATGATAATTGAATTCACATGGATTTTGGCCTCATGTCCAATAGGAAACCACAAGTACAAGGTGCTGAAAAATCCCCCGTAAAGCTATGGAATGAAAGTGGACTTCTGCAGAATAGAGCTTTTGCTGTAATGTTGTGTCCTGGAAAGTATATTACAAACATTCACTGATGGTGATGCTCAGATGATACCTAAAACCAAAACTCTTCCAATAGAATACCCAAACAAGGCAACTTTCTCCACTCAACAGGGGCTAATAGGGGTTTTGTAAATGCATGTCTGATGCAGAATAATATTTCCAGCAAACTATATCCTGTAACTAGCCCAGTTAATAATTACAAAGTGCTTAATTCTGAATGCACAATTTGCCCAAAGTAATTGATCACTAAAATAAGAGATACGTAAAATACATGCCCCTCTTTAATTTCTCATGTGACCAAGTACTTCAGAATTAAAATGTAATCACAAACCTTGACAGAAATACTGTGTGATAATAAAAGAGTGTTTTATAGCAGAAGTAAGAAGAAATGCATGTATATAGAAGGGCTTAATCATTAAAGAAAGCTGCTCCACCTCCGGCAGGTCCTGTGTGACTCTGAACAGTATGAGGCATTTTTCTACTGATTTTGGACGTAGCCTTGATGCGTATTATTGATGGCTGTTCCCCTCGTCCTGTAATGATCCAGGATTATCTTAAGCCAGTGTCTGATTTGAGACTTGTCTTCTCGTGGCCAAGCCTGAGCAAAAACCTGGAATTAGATGAATTTGGGACGTTTTGTTCCTCCATAGTGAGTTTCATCCAGTCACCTACGGTTGGGGATTAGAAGTCCAGCAACACAAACACCCAGGTATTGAGGTCTAGCTTATACACTGAAATCTGACACGGAATTTGGCAGAAAGCTGCTGTGCTGCTTACAGCTCATCTCAGCACCGTGTTTTTCTGCCAGCTATATGCATGCGAGAGAATATATTTGCATCTCCAGAGCTCTGCTCGGTGGAGAAAACAAGTGGGATGAATCTTCCTTGCTTCATGCAGCTCTACGGCAAAATAGGTTTACCCTGAAGTTGTAATGAGATCATTCCATTTGTTCCTGATTCTTTGATCTTGTAGCCTAAGCTAGAGTGAAGCAGCTGAGCTAGAAGGAGGTGTTTTACAGGCATCAAAAGTCCTCTGGGAGCTGGCTAAGCAATTTCAGGACTACAGCAGAGCTGCTGGAATCTGACACGTGATCTCACATTTTAGAAAACATTAAGCTCCTGAGACTTCCAAGACCTTAAGTATCGATGAAAGCTAGAAAAGAACCCGTCTAAGCCTTCCTTTTCTCTATTTTTTTTTTAATTTATAATTAGCAATTAAGTATTTAGTCACTTTCTGTTATAAGAAACTCTATGTTTAGCCCTGTCAATATTTTCTTCTCCAAAAAGGCACTACGAATGCTTATTCTCTGAGAAATAAGGAAGCAAGAAATAAAGAAGCACGTTGTGTTATTTCTTCAGTAAATTGGATATGAAAGGCAGAAGTATTAATGAAAAACTGTAACATTTCCCATGGAAAAAAAAAAACAACTTTGATCCAAGTAAATTGAATTACTTCAGCATTTGCTGCAGTAACCTTACAAATAGTTCTATTTGTATACTAAACTAGTTTTTTCCCTTATGCCAGATGCTGTTTGCGAGGGTTGGTGCCACTGCAAACCCTCAAGATGCTGCAAGTCACAAATGATGCTTCTAGGGCCAGAGGTCAGTCAGGACCTAAAATCTCTAAAGTCTATTAAATATAAAGAAGAGCAAGGAATAAATCTAAAATAAATTCATGATGACTGAAAAGATGAAACTGTACTCTGTTTTTCCATAGTTTTGTGCTTGTTTTTTTTTTTTTCCTGTGTGATTTTGTTTAGAAGCTTTATTTTTTATTCTTTTTTTCCCCTGATAAATGCAGAACACTGCTCCAAAGTATGTCCACCACATGTCATCTAATGAAAATAAAACTGGCCAGCCCAGATTTTTATAACCACAATAAACTTAAACTTTTTGCTGTGCTATTTTAGGACTTAGCACATAATGGGAGACATTTCCTCTTTTTGAGACTTTACAACTCTAGTTTCAGCTGAGCAACAGAAAACTCCTCCCTCCTTTCTTTCCAGAAATGAAAAGGAACCCCAAACCATTATCCCAAGGATTGCCAAACCTAGAATTACTGGAAGCAGCTGAATGTTTGGACAGGCTGGAGCTTGGTTAATGAGCAGCATACAAGTGAGCTTACTGGCACGGAGATCCACACTCCAAGGAGCATTCATGTCAATGTCTGCTGCAGCTCTTCACAGCAGTCCTTCATACTGAGGTACTTGCAGTTATGTGACTCATTAATGGTGCATCTTTTGCATCACCGAATTCCCTCAGGAGTTGTCTCAAATTTCCTGTAATCTTTGTTGGCTTCTATACAGCGATATTCTTATAAGACCTTGGTATCTGACACCTGTCTGTAATTACACAGAAATTAATCTCTATTTATCTGAACAGCTCATTTTCTAAGGTGTGTGAGGGCTGCTTGCATTATTATTAATAAAGCACTCAAGATTTATCAAACAGCTTTGCAAGAAACAGATAAATTTGAACGTGTAGATAATATGGTAATATTTTAGCTGTCTGGTCTGCAATCAGATGCTGGAACGCAAACGCTTTCTTCTTTTCTGCAGAGATAGCAAATGTTACATGTTTTTCACTATGTAAATGGCCTTAGTTAACATTAATCAAAGTTTGCACATCAGCTGCAAAACACTCATCTAGAAGTGCAACTCCAGGGCAGCCCAAATCCAAATGGGTGGCGGGTTTCTAACAAGATATGGAACTCTGCTCCATCAGCACGTGTCTCTGCTGAAGCTGAGCTCTAGTTCTCATCCTGTGATTCTGGGTGTAATATACGTGGGCTAGCTCTAGAAACTGTGACAGGACCCGGAAGGCAATGCAAATATGCAACCAAAGCACATGCAAAGCTTTTTCCACTGGTCCTTGTACTTTCAGGGCTTCTTGCAAGGCTGCAAAAGGTTTGTGAAAAGAAGCATCCAGCCAAATCCATGTTCCCCTCAAAGCTTGGTTTTCCCTGTGATGTGTCGTCATCTCCTATGTGAGTAAGTGAGCATTTAGGGTGGTATATGATATAAGGTAAAAACTGGAGCGATATTAAAACAATATATTGTCTTTTCTATGGAAAGAAGAGAAAGTGGATCAGGGAATAGGCTGTAAGTCAGCACAAACAACTAATTTTGCAGCTGGGGCTGAAAACTCATCATCCATAAACTGCATGTATAAGAACACACGTTTCCAACATATTCAGTTGGTAACTTTCTGATCAATGCCTTCCTTTTGCTTTCCATGCAGCAGAGTCACCTGTGTTAACAGAATGTGAACTGTATGTGTTTAAAAGCTATTCTTCCATTGGAATAACAGATTTCACATGAGCACAGACCACCGTGTGTTTGGGAAGGAAAGGCAGCCAGCAGTGGAGTTAACATCAGCCTCGGTGGATACATAGGGAATCTGGATATTTCATACTTGCAAGGTCAAGTGTGCTAGCTCTGAGCGTGCTGAGTTAGCTGCTGTGATGGAAAGGCAGCTGCCTGCAGACTGTGAAAAACAGTGGTGATCAAGAGAAATCCTGGACAACCAGGGAAATAAAATTGAGGTTATATCCATGCATAAGAAAGGCAAGGACAGGGACCTGGGGGGCTATAGGCTGCTCTGCTCACCTGTCAGTCCCTAGAACAGCCATGAGCTTGTTTTCTTGTGTTCTTTTTCAGACTATTTTAAGAGCAAGAGGTTAATCAAGGACAGTCAGCACATTTATTGAGAGCAAACTGTGCTTGACCAACTAGATTGCCTTCTGTGATGAAATGACATGGAGTAGGAAAGCAATGAGGACACCTCAGGGCCTCTTTCAACCAATTCTTAAAACGTGTCTAAGTACAAACCATGTTTGTTTTGTTGTTCTCTTCTCAGTTCTTTTTTCTTGTTATTGCTACAACTGTTAGCTTGCCCTGTAGCTACATATGGGTACGGCTTTGTAACAGTGATTGTGAGGCTGGTATTGTTTTCTGGTGGTAGACTCTGGATTTTGATAGCGCTGGGTTTTGCAGTACGCGCTGCTCTGTGAAGCTGTGGAAAAAATTCAAGCAGGGTGAGTATACTTGTCAGTATTAGAATCAGAAAGGGGCACTGGGGAAGCAACGTGTGGGACCTTGGTAGGTTCATTTCAGTGAGCAGCTTTAAAAACTTAGAAGGAAAGTGAAGAAGCCCAGGCTTTATAGAATCACATGGCTTGGGTTGGAAGGGGGATCGTCAAGTTCCAACCCCCCTGCCACAGGCAGGGCCTCCAACCTCCAGATCTGTTATGAGACCAGGCTGCCCAGGGCCCCATCCAACCTGCAGTGATGGGGCATCCACTGTTCCAGCATCTTCCCACTCCCTCTGTGAAGAACTTCCCCCAACATCTAATCTAGACATTCCCTCCTTGAGCTTAAAACCATTTCCCCTTGTCCTGTCACTATCTACCCGGCTTACTAAAGATTCAATTATTATTTTAGTATATTTTATAATATAATCATATTGTACTATAACATAATAATATAGTATATTTAGAATATTATATAAATCTGACTTGCTGGAGCATTTTAATACCTTCTTTCAGTATAAAAAAATCTACTGCTATGTCATTCTCTTGTCAAATGATGATGCTTGAAATAGATTGACTTTCCTATTTCAGTATAACTTTCCAGAAGAGCAGTTTAATTCATGATCCATGCTGCTCACATGACACCTTTAAAAAACAAGTTAGAGGACTAAAATTTAATAAAAGGAGTAATTTCTTTATTTCTGATACAAGGTCTTAATCCTGAACAAATTTTGTAGCAGCTGGGAATATGCAGTGATCTCTCATAGAATGATTTTCTAGGTGAAAATACAAAAATACAAAAATAGGAAAAGTAAACTATTGTTTCCATTACAGATTTTTATGGCATTAATTAAATGTTTGAGGGCTTTTGCCTGCTGAAAGGCTTAGAACTTGAAGTGCCTAATAATATGCTTTAAAAAGAAATAATTTTGTGCATCGCAGATGCTGTTTCTTACAGACAGTTTTGTACACTCGAGGCTCTAGGTTTGTCAGGACATACTGTAAGAAGGGCAATCAAATCCTTTACTCTCCAGCATCCTGGTTATTTTCAGCTCAAGGAACCTCCAAAGGCCCTTGTGGTTTCTGACTGCTGATAGCTCAGTGAACTTCCCTTCCACGAGCGTGTCCATACTTCCCCTCCACTACATGTGAACTCTTACACCTAAGACATCCTGTGGCCATGAATGTCATGGTTTAATTAAGCATTGTATGTACATTTTATATGTTGTAAATACTACCTTCATGTTTGTACTTGAACCTGTCACCTGATAGTGCCATTTGATAACCCCCAGGTCTTCTGCTGGGAGTTAGGCAGTAATTGGCCTCTGTTCAGCTTCTCCTTGCTACTCATGATTTTACAGATCCCTGTTGCTGTCCTGTATTGTCTTTTCTAGATGAGACTCTCCTGGTTTCTGCAAGCATTTATTGTGTGAAGGAATGGCCTGTTACAAAACCACTGTTCATCCCTGTTGTCCCAACTCAAACTTTTTCCAACATCAGTCCATCTTCTTGGAAAGTGAGAAGGAACAGAACTACACGTACGTATCCAAGCTTTGGACAAAACATGGATTTAGACAGCAACATGGTGATATAATCTGTATTTTTAAGAAAGCTAAATATTCCTGTTTTATTATGACTGTGCACTGAGATGATGTGTTTGTTATACACCCTGCTTTACTACTGCTGAACTGTAAGCTTTCAGAAGGTTCCCCAACATTATATCTTTGAAGTTAGGAGTGTTTTTTCATATCTATCCATTTATGTTAGAGCTAATATATCATTTTAAGACCTCATTACTTGGTCCTTAGGGTTTTGCTAATATTTTCTACACAAAATACACAGTTATGCTATAGAAACCCAGCTTCACTTAATACAAGTTGATCTAAAAACCTAACCTAGTTCCTTCACTTTAATTGGAGGATGTCAGTCATTATTAAAAACACAAAACAGAAGGAAGTTTGTCTCTATATTGGGTATCAGAAGGTAGACAGCTTAAAGCTGCCCTGTAAAGTTTGACAAAGGTCCTTCCAGCCTGCTGTCCCACCCTCAGCATTGTCTAGTGGTGGGTTTTAAAAGGTAAATCTAAATCTACGACAGCGACATGCTGTTCTCCTGTAATTCCTTTGTCATAAGCAGAGGTCATTTTGCAACATTTAGCTGAGATTTCCTAAGCAGAAAGATGTGCACGCATGCAGAAACTGCGTGCAGCAGTGGGTCAGAGTCAGACTGGCTGCAGGGTGCCTTGGGTAATCTGGTTGCTCAGCCCATGTGCTGCACAGCTGGGCCTTCCCACAGGCAGGAGCTGGCACCTAGTGCTGATGCACCCTGACTACCCTGCGTAGGTCATCTGTGCAGCACGTGGGCAGCAGATGCTGCATGGCTGGTCAGTGCTGGCCGTGCATAATGCACATGCATTGTGAGGACAGCTGTGCAGGGAGCTTGTCTGGGTTTGGACATTCTAGAGATATTGGTGATTTTGGCCACCTGAGTGTCCCAAGCCTGCAGCCTGTATATGGCCAGAGAAGAGATGCTTCCTGCTTAATCTGAATACTGCGGGATATGCATAGCAATAAAGAATTTTTACATGGTGACATTTCCACATAGCTGCATTTCCCCTGGGACTCAAAGTTTGAGCCTAATAGCTCTTTCATTGAAGCCAGGGCCAAAAGTCACACTTGTTGCAACTACAGCAGGTGTTGGGACCTTGCCAGCCTTCAGCAGGAACCCTACTGCCACTGAGCAGGAGAGGAATCAGGCGATGGGGGAAAAGCAGTGAATTTGGTGCCTGTTTAAATCGCAGCAATCATGTCAGAGACCTGCCTGGAGTAAAAGTTTTGGCCTTGGATTTTAATTTGGGCAGTGAAAAGAAAGGAAAACATTGTGGAATTCACTGCCTTTAGGAGTACTGGCTTCAGTTCATTTCTTTGCTGCAATTGCTCTTAGTCTTGGATAGATTCCCTGCTAAGAAAAACAACAACAACAAAAAACGACAAAAAAAAAAAACAGTCTTGATGCATCCAACTCAAAGGGTTCTAGAAGGCTTGCAGACATCTCTGAGGTACTCACTAGTGCTGAAGTGGTTTTGATTGAAAATACCACTTTCATGTAATTCTTCCATGTTTCCTTTTGTATTGTTTTCAATTAGCCGTTTCAACAGCGCTGTCTACAATCTGAAACTATGGAAATTGAATACAGAAAGATGTAATTCAGGGAAGTGTAAGTATAGCAGCAGCAGCTTTTTTTTTTTTTCTTTAAGAAAAGGATATAGACTTCTCAAGATCAACTCTATATTCTCAGTTTAACTAGCAGACAGGAAATGCTTTTTATTCCTTAGGTCCCCAAGGATGTTTCTTTGTTAGAAAGCCAAACCTCCATTTCCTCTATTCCTTGTAACAGATAGCAAACCTGGTGAACATAGAGGAGATTTGGCGCCAAATGCATGAACTTGTAACCTATATCTTTTACAAACCAGTTTCATTTGAACTTTGGACGTTTGTCTTTGTTTTCTGCTAGAGAACGCGGTAGACAACTAATTGATTTTCTTGTGACCAGATGCTGGAACCTACACTTATGCAAGTGAAGTCTCAGTGGGGATAACAGCAGTCAGCGTGCACATCTGGCAGGGGGGTTGGAGATTCATGATCCTTGAGGTCCCTTCCAACCCTGGCAATTCTGTGGAAGTTCCTTGACGCAGCTGTTTCTATGCTGAGAAATGCTGGCGATGGCTTTGTCTCAGTCACCACTTTCACCCACAATGAATCCCCTTAAACTGACTATGGCCGGGCTGTGTAATGCACTTTTACCAAGGTAAACCAAGAGGTAACCAAATTCCTTTGCTGATAAAAACAATACCACGCATTCACTTTAAAGAGAGCTAATTGTATTTTGAGTATCGGGGCATTCTGTCCAAATTGCTGTGCAACTAATGTGGATTTGTGTACTGTTAAATGGCAGGATGGAAATTTCAAGAGCACTTGGAAAAAAAGCAGTCTTCCAGAGATCAAATAGCAGTGAATTTGGTGCCTGTTGTGACCATGGCCAAGGGATAGAGTTGAGTGAACCAGATAGGTGAGCTGCCAAGCAAGTAGACCAGGCACTGTGTGGGTTGAAGTATTGGAAGGATATCTTTTCAAGAAGTGATTTTTTTCTTGACTTACTTCAAATCAAGGCTGGTGACACTGGTGTACTTTAAAGGATTGTTGTTTTTGTGATTCTGAACTCTAACATAGGCTCTTTGCCAGTGTAGACTTTGCTATGTGGCTCCACTGTGCTGTACTGCCGTGAGGACTTCCATTTACAATGAAATGAGAGGTAATGTTCATTCTCCCATCTATTTTGGTTTTGTACCCATATCTTTTAATTGCTTCAACCGTGGTTTGTCTGACCATGCTGTTGTAGAGCCCAGACTTCAACTCTTTGATTGAAATTCAGCTGGCAATACTAGAACTAGTAGTTCAATTAGGTTTCTTTCTTTTTCTTTTTCTTTTTTTTTTTTTTTTTTGGAGGTGATGAAAAGGTTGGAGCAGGAAGGAGGATGAGCAGGTTTGTGGGTTGTTGTTGTCTTTTTTCCTGATTGATTATTAGGTTTTTATGTCAGAGTTTGATGACTGCATGCTGACTGTTGTGCTTACTAGTGGTTAAAAAGTTACATGAACAACCAGTTGCTTGCTTCCATCACATGCAGAACTTTATGCTTTATGGGTGTATTAATTTAGAAGAAGGTCCAAAGTATTCCTGCATGCTGCTTGTCCTTCGTATGTGACGTGCAAGGAGAATGGCAAACTTGAGGAAGCTCTTTATAATGAGCAAACTAATAAAAATTAAGAACTCATAAAGGACCAAATGATGGAGTGGAATTGGGATAGTTGGATCTTAGTAAAAAAAAAAAATGTTCTACTTGCGTGCAACCTGCAAAACATTTGAACAGATTACCTGTAAAGAAAGTGTTTTCAGAAATAAATACTGCATTTTCTTGGAGGAAATTATAGCATCAAAGGAGCATGGGAAGAAAGAAAGGAAAACAGAAGACGACCTGTTATATTGTCTGGCTGGAGCTGTATACTTGACTTAACTTGAGGTTAAATTTGGTCTTGGCAGTCAGTCCTGCAGTGAAGTAATTTGCTGTAGTACTCTGACACTGCTTTTCAAAGAAGGCAATGAGACTTTTTGGCTGGTGTAGTCCTGCTCTAATAATGTGGGAGGCTAGGTTCACAACTTTGTTCAATCCATCATAAATCCCAACTGTCTTAGCTGACAAGAAAAGAAATAGTAATTTTAGTAAACTTGTGTACCATAGTTGTATTTTAATCTAGGAAGTGTTTTCAGCATCTGAAACACATGTAGGTAACAGTTGGTCAGTTTTCATGTAAAGGCTTCATATGAAAATAGTTCTTGTTAATAACTAAGTAATCAATGTGACATTGATAAAATACAAACAGCATAAACAAAAGTATTGATAAAATCAATACTTTGTCTAATGCAGAGACACTAAGGGTCTCTCAGGTTCCCAGTGGGAATTTATTTTGTCCATTTATCTCCATCTGCAGTATTCTTTGTGAAATCTTAATAGCAGGATGTGGTTAGAACATCATACATGATATTGCAGCTCTTAACAACAAGGCTATTCCAGGAAGTGATGGTAGAGACTTATCTGACACAGTGCTTGCAGCCATGCCCCAGCAAAATGCAGACATCTTGTCAGACAGGATGTTTGTAGCTAGCTTACTAGCTACAAGAGAGGAGCATTGAAGTTTCATGAATTGGTTGTCTTCACAGCTGTTCCCACTGGTCTTGAGCAAAGTTTGTTGAGCCTTTATTGGCAAGTCAGACAATAAGAGCCTTCTATTTTATTTTATTTAAAAACAATCAAACATGCAGTCAGCATTAATCGACTTGAAATCAAACGGGAATTTTAATTTTCTGTTACAGGATACAGGCCATGGTCTTGTTGCTGCTGCACAAAGCAAATGTCACCTACATGAAAAGAAATTATTTCTATGTGTTGATCGCTGGCTTTGCTGCTCACTTATTTTCAAATGTGTTCCATTTTAAAATTCAATTATTTCCCTAATTTCCTAATTATAGGTCAGTGCTCCCTCAAGATACAGATGACCTACTGTGTGAGCTTAAATAGGACTCCAAGGTTTGTTCACAAGCTCACAAACCTGTTTTTCTCTCCAGAGGTTTGGTTTCCTTTCTTTTTCAATCTATTGAAAACAAATTTTGGTCCAAGGAAACCTTCAAATATATTTAAGGCAGATGCAACCGACTAAGATATCTAAATGTGAAGAATCTAAAAGTAGGTCCCAAAAACTAGCTGAGATTTATATGCTAACTCTGTGATGCCTTTGGTAGCTTGAGAACAGAAATACTGCTCAGAAGATTTGAATCACTGTTGCCCAAAGCAAAAATCTTGTGGAGCACGATGCTGAAGACAAACCATAAACTTGTAGGGGGACTTTGGTATGCAATGGCATTTTCCTGAACTGAGACTCAGTAGCCAGTGGTTGGGAAATGTTGAACTGTTCTCACAAAACCCTGACGTGACCTCAACAACAAGGAACGAAGAGAGAAAGTGCAGAGCTTTCTTTGCTTAAGCTTAGTCTATTTTACAGCTCTGAGATCTCAGAAGAGCTGAAGGGAGTTTGACCAAAGTGCTTCTATGGCCTGTGCTTGTCATGAGGCAGAACTTTGCTTCGCAGGAGGTGTACCCTGGTGGATACTGTACTGGTGACATATGGTGCTTAAGTGTCACTCCTCATTATGTCACTTCTCTTATGTCACTTCTCTTGTGCAGAGGCAGGGTGCTGAGCCACATGAGCATCCTTATAGGTGCCTCCTGTATAGAACTACTCACAAGGAGAGGAGGTCTGAGAA